TAAATGCTGGTTAGAGAAACAACGGTTTTTTCTGCGCGTTGTTTGGGACTTTGGCATTCCCTCTTTTGAATTCTGGAGCTCCGCGATAGTGGCACCTACAGTGGAGAACCTCGGCTCCGTTGGTAACAACATGTTTTTCTCCGGCAGAAGTAGCATTCGGCTAGTTTTTATACTCAAGTGCAATGATGCTGTTTTGGTTGCATAAATACTATACAAATTAAACGTGGCGACTTTTTCATTTTAGACATAATGCGAAAACCATTCACCTCCCTAAAACGCTCCGGTAAATTTATAAGCACATGTCAGGCAGTGTAAAAGGTACCATAGCGTTCCACATCCAGTATTCAACAATGAACTCACCTACAAATCTCCAAGTAGGACAGCGATTCCTAGGCAAAGATTATAAAGTGGCTGCTTGCGACTTCGGTATATCTGGCACTAACCTGGCCCAAAAGACAGGAGTAGTTCCATCTAGAAACTGAAAATATGCCAAACTGAATGAACTATAATCATAAAGTACGGTGATTTTAGTTCTTGGGACCACAGCCTAATTAAAATTCTTGTTCATTAAAACCTTGCTAACTGCAGAACATATCGGGAGGCAACACCGGACTTGGTAAAAGTAGATGAAGCAGATATATACGAGGCTAGAAGGAGACCCCACTGTCCAGCTCGTGCCGTTGCACTGTGCATATTCTTCCCAAGATGTATCGTAAGCTACACAAAACGGCCTTCATATGTAGGCACCAGAAAATCGTACATAGAAATTACTCACAACGTAATATCTAAGGGGAATGTTGCAACGTACGGACCAGAATATATTTGAGAGCGATGTTTCTAATGACACTGTTGATGGTGTGATATGCCACCTCAAGTTTGGTCTAGATACCCATCCCTCCAGCAGAAAACTGCTTCTGCGCTTCTATCGTGTATCTTCTCCTCAGCTCGGAAAACTACCAGGAAAGAAAAAAAGGCTGCATAAAGTAGGCGATAACGCTGGTGCTCATCGGTTGAATGTCCAAATTAAACTGGAAACCTAAAATTTGAGTCTGCTTGGCGACCAGAAAGGTTTGTCGTAGAGGTGGAAATTTTTTAGAGACCTGACTGGTAATGGACATCACAAATAAATGTGTTAATGTCTCCGCTTTAAACAAATCGTTTAAACACCTACCCAACTATGTCACCCAACGTTGTCAGCCCTCATTGGCGCTTTGTGAAAATCCTAATCAATTCTCATGCAAAAGCAACAAAAGCACTCTGAATGCCACTGCCGTCTCATATCACACTATTGCTTACAATCTTGATAGGAACGTCAAGTGTGTTGGGCGCGCCCTTTTAGACTATACTTCAGTACTTGATTTCGTCCCAAGACCTGTTTTGTTGGACAAGCTAGCCAGGACACCTACCGAGTTGCAGGCAGTCAACTAACTGTATTCCTATTTTTCTGTTAGGAAATAATACACCACTCAGAGAGAGAAGTGTTCTACCTCATTGCTTACCGAGACTGGCGTTCACCAAGGTGCCGCCTTTTTCTCGCGGTGCTTTCCCTTTCCTTCCCGATGCCTTGCCATCTTCAACTACTATCAATTTTGTCAAGTATGCTGATGACGAGACAGTTTCTATGATTCTTTCCCCCCTACCGGATTGCTCAGAACTCAGAAATTTTCCGTCTACCATTGGATGCTGGTCCTCCACGAATAGTCTTGTGCTAAACTGTTAAACTTGTCAAACCATAAACACTGTCTGTAGACATGAACATAACTTATGTAAACGGCTTAAGCCTCAAGATTCCTGTTCTACCGATGGCTGTGTATTGAAGAATGTTGCAAGTGTGATTCTTCCCGGCATATTTTTCTACCGACCTTCGTTGGCCCTCACACGTCCTAATAATTTCCGTAAGAATCTTCCGCCTAACTCACTGTGTTGGTAAACTAGGAGGATTTAATATAACAGCCTCTTCTCTTGTGTTTTATGGGATAGTGTATCTTGCCCATTCTCCTCCATTTTTGTAGTTTGTTCTTTCCTTGGTTGTTTAAAGGAACTATGATTTTGAACCGCACGGAACCTTGAGAACTGTCGGCAGAACTTGTGGTGGGCCTCTAAACCTTCCAGTTGAGACCGTTCTGAACAAACATCCATATTATTATGTATACATGTACGTTACTTATGTCCAAATGGTGCTATATGACATGCCGAAAATTCTGCACAGCACTCCTCACTCATCCTACATAATAAACTTTATTATTACCCTTGCTAACACACAAAGGCGGGTGGTTTCCTGACGCTATACAGGGTTGTAAGGTGTGACTTGGGTCGTAATCCTTAGTTCATCGGTACATAATGGTGAATGAGAGTTGGGGGATACTGGTAGGTCATTGATGAAAGCAAGAAACAGTAGTGGACCTAGGATAAGACCCTGAGGCACACCACTAGGCGTCGGAGGCCAATGAGGTGAAGAGGAGCCAACTCCGAGTGCGACCTTAGTATGAAGATAATCTCCAAGCCAAACTAGTAATTTCAGCATATACTCATAAGCTGAAGTTTCTTACGGAGGATATCAGGATTGACCCTGCCCGAGGACCTAGAAAAGTCAAATAAACCAATATGAATGGTCTCTTTTTGCTCAACAGAGAGTCCAGCCATTCCAAGCTATCAGCAAGTTGGTGTTACATGAACTTCCAGGTGAAAGACCGTTTCGGCAGTAATTCAAGACTAAATTCTCAATTAGGTAGCCGCGAAATGGGCCACTTATTACTCTTTCCATGACTTTCGCAACTGACGGGGCTAGGAGGACCGGTATGTAGAGGTAAATAGCTCATTTCCACCTTTATATACTAGTACGACAGCCACTCGTTTCCAATCAGAGGTTAGCCTGCCTTCCAGAAACCAGCACCTGGCTGAGAACTCAGAACATTGGCACGCTCTGAGTACTCCCGGAGGAATCCAGCAAACTCATGAGGACTTATTGGGATTCAGGTTCACTAAGATTCCCTTTGATAAGGGCCCAAACTACTTGGCTTAACCCCTCTCTCCTGTTTGATCAGTGAGTACAGCATAGCACGGTCCCCCTCCAGAATTTTACACAGTTTTTCCTTGTGGTTTACTCTTTCGTTTCTGATTCTTATCGTGCGCCTTTCACGAATGTCTTTGCAATTAAGCCAACCAACAGGGCTACTAGCTACCCCCATTGATTCCAGGTGAGAGTTTACACAGCGTAAGTTTACAGGTGCTTGACTTAAGCAAGGAGGAATACAACTTGTAGCTAGTTCTTGGAATCAGAGTTTTATTCTTTATCTTTCGAGTAATGTGTCAGCAGATCCCATCTGGCATCCAGGTACAGTAGGACGTGGAAGTTTAAGCAAGTGACACCTTCTAGAACATATTGAACCTTTCCAAAATCAGCTCCATAACTCCTGACCAATCGCTGACCAGGGACAGGCGACTTAGATTTAGAAATGTTGAAAGAATTAAGTGCATAATCTGTCAACCCAAGTGAGTTAAGAACATTTAAACTGGTCGGTCCAATGGACTGATTTGTGAAAATATAATCTAGTCGGGTTGCTCTGTCGTCAAAACTCCAGCGAGTGCACTGAGGGACATGTCCAGTCGATGAGTTTTTTTGGTAAGAATTCCCGACAGGTTGCCGGAGCAGCAGACAGGCTTCCAGCGGTAGAGAGCTGGGGGAATTTGAAGCCTCCCATAATGAGGACCTGTGCAAATTTCGATTCCAGGGCTCCTCTGATGGATGTTATCAGGGTTCTGTTTGACGTTGCAGCGGCTCAAGGACGGCAGTATAAGATTCTGACCCAAACCTCTACAGCTGTTAATACTACACACGGCATATCTGAAGCGCTGATTATATGGGGACAAATCCCATGGGCTTTCAAGGAAGGACAGGCAAAGGAGCAACGCCACCTCCTGAACCCTTTGATCTATCCTTCCGGACAAGGCTGGGCTGTCCAAGACAAATTTCCTCATCTTTTATGTTCTCGTCGAACCATGCCTCAGAAACAGCCAGTATGCTGGGGCTATCATAAACAGCCAATAACCTTGACTCAGGTGTATTGGCTCGTGTGGCCACGCGCATTGCCATGGGTACAGAGAATGACAGTATGAATACTGGAAGTGGCAGAAGCGGGTTGAGCCAAGAATGCATTACCAACCTTTAAGAAGCTGGTTTTGACAAGTTTTTCGTCAGCGAGGAAGCAGGGCCGAGAGCCACTACGCCTGCCAATCTGCTTGGTTGAGAACTAGTGCAGGAGTCTTCTATCCGGGACAAGGTTCATAAAAACTCTCATCTACCGACCAATGGATCGATTGTTAGACATGGTTTAGCCAACGGCAAGTACTTGAATCCCATGTCAGTCCGCCTTTGTCCTCTGCTTTTTCACTTCCTGTTTTAACACATCTGGAAAAGGCACTGGATTTTTCATACCACAACTTCCGAGTTGTTCTGATTGTGTCTGCAGAATCGAGGGTTACTTGGGGCAGCCTGAGAGTACGAAAGGTCGAGAGGTTAGCCAGCCTTGGCGGACGGTTACTTTTTTCAGCCCTCATATCGACTTGGAGTTTATCCACTAAATATGTTCATCATTTTACGTTATCGATAAGTTCAGAAGTATCAGTGTCGAAACATTCGGGAATCCCGTGTATGATGACTGATGTATCCACTAACTCACTCAAGTGAGGGTTGGACACGTGAGAGATATGTTGGAAAAGGATCAGTATGGACTCATAGCCTCCTTTACCCAAACCGAAACTCTGGATGTATGATAAGGCATCAACAGCAATTTCATTTCAAACGGTTTTTGGTACTATTTAGAATTCTCTCTATGAGCATAGAGCATTGGTTTTCATCCCGTCTAAGCAGCTCTTGAAACCGATTTCACAGAGGATGCGTGTACTTCTCATCAGTATTCTGACTTGGTAAGCAAGAATGTTCATAAAAGAAGGATTTGAGTATATATTTGATGGCATCCATCCACAAACTGAAGTCTTCCAAACCAGCGCGAAGTTCCTTAGTTGCGGCACGTGATGGAATCCGAGCAGGTTTCGGTTGCCGTTAGTTTGTTCAGGGAAACATTCCCTAGTTTAGACGACGATATTTCTAGTTACATAGAAAGTAATGATTTTTTGTTCTGCCTGACTTTTATAGGTATTCTTACTGAAAATGCTGAGCATTTCGACTCTGAAAGCGATGTGCACGACGCAATCGGTGGAATCCTTGATGAATTTTACTGTAAAACTAGTGATCAAAAGGTGGAAGTTCTGTGCAAAAAAATCTACCAGCTGATGAAACCGTAAGGTTTTGATTTTGAGTTATCCTTACAGAACTAATGGCTTCGTTGAAAAACAAACAACTTTAGACGCTCCTGTGCAGATGGCAAGCTTACTGGATACTTTCAGTGAGCGAGTGGTGGACAACTCTAGTATATGGATGATGAAAAAGCAAAGCACCACCATTGTTGATCCAAAGAAGTTGGAAAAAGCTGAGGCTAAAATAAAAGAGAAACAAGGAAAAAAGTCTCTACCTGGAAGACCGGGTACTGGAGGGTTAGTAGTGTTTTTGAGCTGTCAAACTTTGCATTAGAAAGCCTAGTGAAACGAAAGAAGATGAACGTGCTACCGTTAGTCAGCAGGTTGACAGAAGGGAACTAGCCGCCTATTCATGTACAACGTCTCACGTGGGTGATATCCGTTTGGAAAATTTCGATATCGCTTACGGTAGTAGGTATGTTTCTAAAAATAACTTCTTTCACTGGATATACTGTGTTCGAAAAAGCTGATCACTAAACTAACTGTTTTGTATAGGCGTCCATGGGATATCATTTGTGAAGTGAATATTCGTGAATAGGCTGTTTGATAACTGTAATTTCATAAGCTTTACTCCAAATGTCAGTGCGTTGTAGTTTCTATAAACATATTTCTCATGTGTCAATCACCTCGTCGTGTGGAACAGAATGAGTGGTGATAAATGCATTATGGTCTGATATGAATGAACTTGAAGTAAGTAATGCAGTCTACTGTATTGGGCATTCCCTCTCCTACTTTCCTGTTTTTCTCGATAATCTGTTTTACGTGTACCACTCTTAAGATGGCCAAGCGGGAGTGGAAGAAAGTTGGTTTTTCTTGTCATAAATAGTATAACGCAGGTGCAATAGGGCTTGTATTAGTAAAGCAAAGCAATATACATACCTAACGACTGGCATACAGATTCTATTTTTAGGAACGATTCTAGAACCTAATTTTGGAGTTACAGCATGGAGATTAGCGCCTTAAAGGTTGTTGTTGGTACGGACGCTTTATGAATACAAACGCAAAAATCCGAAGTCCTAGACACACCTTGCCAATAAGCACCAACAAAATTTTTAACTCCTTTGCAAAGCATTTTATAAACTATTTAAAGTGGCTAACACTTTACGCAGATGGTAAATAAATTCATACGATTGCATTTTTTCCTCACTCATTTCACCAAAGATTTCCAACCGGTGATCTTTATCATCTCGAGAGCCCCAACCGGTTAATGTACATGGCTCAAGCAAAGTTGTGGGTTTATGTTGGTTTACTCTTCAGCCTTCAATCCTAATTCTACTCCACCGAATACTGTCAGAATAGGTGACTCACAAAAGGTGGGCTGTAAAAAGTCAGCTAAGTTCTCAAGATCGTATCAATTGAATCTTCTTTTTTAGTCAGATATTGCAACACTAGTGTGCATATTGGTGTATTACAGAGAGCACATATCAATTTGTTGCGGACGGTAGATGCAAATAACTAAGAAATATCACAATATTTTCCCAGTTAAGGGACTTTCTGTAATCATATTTAATTTTTCTGACCTTTCATTGAGCTTTCCAAAAGGACTTAGAATAGTCAGGGATATTCGTTTTACCACTGAACTGTCTAAATTCGTCACGAAAATGTCCATTGTGCTGACGTTTTCCTCTAAATTCATGGACTGCTTTTAGTCACCTCTGTGACAGTTTATAGGAGTCCCTCTAAAAAACTCATCCAGTAGGAAATCCTGAGTAAAAAAAGTGGTAGAAAAGTACGAAGAGTAACCATGAGAGTGTGATGGACAGAAATATTAAAGACACCAGTTCCAGCAAAGAAATATTTCTTTTCAACTAACTCTTCATCAATAGATGTGCACTAATATATAGCATTATGAAATTAAATACCAGTCCAATGGGGAGAATGGATTGGTACCAGATTTCCAATTTCTTGTCAAGGTGTGAGTCAAGCAAATTACGAAGTTAAGTAATAGTATAATGAGAGTAAATCTGCGAGTGAATAGATTGTTACATAGGTGATTGTTTATGTGACAGTGATTAAAAAAGATAATGAATAGTATCATTGACGGTAATTACGGAAGAGTTATGAGTCAATGGGGAAGAATAAAATTAGCAAGAACTTTAATGCTAATAATGACGTTAATACTGACGGTAAAAGTTTATAAGGTGAGTGAAGAAAATGATCGTCTCTGCACAGGTATGCCGTGCGGAAAGTCAAGGTAAACAGAGAGACTGCACGGGTTTGTCGTGACCACATAAGCTGGGTGTGTTCAGGTTGATCCAGATGGATTCTATTCGTAATCCCAGTTATTCCAGTCATTCGTTCTCACTTCTTGTTAATCCTTATTGCATAAATCACTAGTTATATGGCAATCTGTTCAAACTTTCACATATTTGCTGCGAAATTATTTTATTCCTTAACTAACTTGGTAGTTTCCCTGATTAATTGTCAACCTTAAACGCCTGGAGATTGATGTTATTAATTAACTTCTCACCACTAGACTAGTGTGTTATTGTACAATTTTAAAATGCTATATCTTAGTGTAGAGCCGTTGATGAGAAAGATATTGGCCGGGAATTCAGAAAACAATGAATACACGTTTAATATTAAACCAAGTCAACGATAGTTGTCAATACAGAAATTAGAAAACAAAGTAACCTAGAAATGGATATGGCTTAATGTGCATTGCTAACTCTTCAGGGCTGACCACTCACCAAGTTAAACAGTAGGTGGCAAAGTAGTTTTTATCCAATACTTTACCTACCTAGCTACTGATGACATTTCGGTGTGGCGGTAGACAGTTTAGATGAGGCTTACTTAGATGCATTCCGTGAAGTCAATAGGATGTCTCACCACTTGAAATGGTAAGAGAATATATATAATAGGTGTTATTGTTAAACTTGAGGCTTCAGTTCAAGGGACTTGAAGAACGTCTCCCACTAACTGTAGTCAATTTACAAAATCCGCAGATTTCTGGTACCTGTTTTAAGCATATCATTATAATAATTTCTGTGTAAAGGCTTCTTTGATGACACCAAAACCACTTCAGAATAGCAATCTGGCAGTTACTTTATAATTCTGTGCAACAGCTGTTAAAGCTGTTGTTTAACGCATTAGTACACTATTGTTCTTATTTAATTTCACACTTCATCATTCTATTTTTGGTTATTTTAAGATATTTAACACTTTGAATCGTCCAATGTTTCATTTACTGTTAAGTTGTAAAGCAGAAGAATAAAATAGGATCAACTTTTTATAATTGCGTTCCATAGTCAGTTGATTTCCTAGTCTCACATTTTCATTTTGTTCTTAATTGTATACACTTTCAGAGTTCTTCTGCAAGGCGCTAATCTTGTCGTCACCTATGGTAGAAGATATGGCTTAGTAGGTCGAAATGGTTTTGGTAAAACAACCTTACTTCGGTCGTTAGCCAAGTGAGTTTGTCTGCTTCCGACATTTTGAAACCGTTTGTTTGCAATCTCACTTTAGTTTTTCTATTTGAGCGATATTGTAAAGAGTAATGAGGAATCATATAGTTTTTGACACATTCAATTATGTTTAGGGACTAGATATTTGAGTCAGTTGTTCGGCATTTAAATGTGCTACCCATGTATCAGTTTATGCACTCAAAGAGACGAAAACTAAGTATGACAGACCCCTCATATTCACTAACATACCTAAAAGTATGATATTGGTTTGGAAAAGGAATTAGGTAAAAAGGAGCTGTACCAAGTGTCAAAGTCGACCCTGTACTAGTCGAATAGATCCCCATCCACAGTCATCCGCACTTTTAGACCAGAGTGTTGGATTAGATTGAGAAGTAACTGGTAAGGGAAATGATGCCTTTTTGTCATCTTTGCCTATACTCCAGCTACAGCTTGGATGTGGTTAAAGTTTAGTCATACTATCAGTTGAATGACATATAGCAGGTACTCTGTACAGATATCGTAATGTAGGACGGAGAATTGAATGCACAGGTCGGGCGCCTAGACACAGAGGAGGGTAGTTTAAGTCAGTGGGTATTAGTCAGTCGCAAGTCAGATAATCGGAAACGTTTCCAACAGCTTTGCACAGATCACAATTCGTTTCTAGCCCGTACCAACTTCTGACACAATCTTCTCTGTTGTGTTACCAGGCGTCCTTCCTCTGGCACTCTAGCATAGACTCAAACATATCCTGTTGCCATCAGCTACTGATGGCACAGGTGTATTTAAAACTGACACTATTTTGAAGTACCTGTTTAGACTCTAGTCACGCTTTAGTTTGTGTCAAGTTCATTTTGTGTTTTGGTGATCATCGAAGTTGTCGTCCTAAACGGATCATTATGGGAAAATTAGTCACTCAATATTTCGATTAAATACCAACTGTAAACTAACTGTTGCATCCCCAAGAAGTATAAATGAATATTAGCTGCACCTACAAAACGCCATGACAATTGTGAACAAAGTTGCTCGTTCAGATTGAATTGTGAAATGATGAAGAATATTTGTAGCTCAAGTGGATGGTCTTGGTTGCATTGTGTTCTCTAGACAATCCAGCACAGAGAACTCAATACAACTAAGATTGAATTGTTCTCTGAGCTACTGTTTTAGCTGTTGAACGTCTCAGTGTCATACTGGACACTGTCGTCAGTGCATCAGAGCCTCACAAGGAAGTGAAGTAATCGTTTGTGGATAGATATTTACAACATATAACAAGTAGACTAAAATATAATGAATATCCAGGCAGTATCAAGGCTTCCGCATAGGAGTCCATCTGCCAACAAAGATCGAGCAATTTGACTTAGTATAGTAGCAGGGAATTACAAGTGTTAATAAACAACAACTGATACCCGATGCACAGGTGGTGAGTGTCATATCTTACTGGCCTAGTGGATAATGCTTTTGCGTTTGAAGCGATGGGTTCTGGGTTTGAGCCTCATTGGGAACAACATCGCCCACTGGTATGCATTTACACCCAGCTGGTGAATCTCAAGTAGGACGAGACTCACATCCTGGATTCCACTGCCAGTCATCAAATAGATTACAATGTATTTATAACTTTGCCTGGTCATTTGGTAAGTGTGTGGGTATATGATGTTGAACCTCATTGGTTGGCTTTGTGTCTATTTTCGGAGTGTGCAGCTATGTCATTGGTTGACTTTGTTTGGATGTAGCACATTGTGACTGGTTGATCTTTTTTGCTTAAATGAACTGATAAAAGCCACTGTGGTCTGATCGATCAACATTTTTGTTTGACTGCATAGATAAGTGCTGTCTTGGACTGATTGATTGTTACTTCTGTACTGGAAGGAAAGTGCTTTATGCTGACTGGTAGAACTGCTTCAACTGAAGAGGTGTTCTTTTCTACTGCTGCTTGGTCAAATTTTGTGTTAGACAGACAAACTGACAGGATCAACGTAGTGCATCGTTTCAAGTTGCCACACTACAGTTTCGTGCGAAGAACAAGTGAATAGAAGAATAGTATAAAAGTAGACAAAGGTGTATTGGGGGGAGAAACAATTTGAAGGTGAAGGTTCTTCCAAACATTTAATCTTTAGAGTATGTAAAAAGGTGAATTCATCTGCCCCATTGTGACCGATTTGCAGCCACTTAACCAAAAGTTCTCAACTGCTGATTCCTGTGGTCTCGAGAACCCCTCCCTAAACAACTCAGACCAACAATCAGAAACTTCAAGGATTGACTCGTGTTAAATAGCATATTTATCGATTGCTTAAATATGGGAATTTGGTTAGTATAAATAAATTGCTTTGCTCTTATTGATTCATGATTTACTCTTTGATTTCGTCTATGGTTTTCTTGGATTTGATTCCTGCCACTGATTTGTTTCGAATAAGGTTCGTATATTGCGTATAAGTGAATGTTGTGATTAATTGATAATTTATCTACAAATCGGGTATCCGAAAGTTCTCTTACCAATTTCGAGTTTGCGCGTTTATCTATTTCAAAGTTGTCGAGTTCGATCAAAATTAAAGATATTAACTTATGTGGTGATAAAACATCGGTAGTTTACAAACTTGCAAGGAAAAGTGTTTTAGTGCATACTTCGAAATGATGACTACCTGCAAGCTCATACAAATATCAAGATACCACAATTAACGAATCTCATAGATATCTGTTTATCTACTTACTTTCAACTCAACGGAAAGATAAGTGAACGAATAAATATCCATGCACAACTAATCATTCCACTTCCGTGTGAAGCTCTCATGTACGGACGTAGTTATTCAGCATGATAGTGAAACGTTCGCCAGCTGAAACACCAGTTCAGATAACAACTCAGTCTGGACATCAACATCCCTAAGTTAAAAATATTCCACACAAATTCCGGATCTACTTGTAGCATCAAAGAAAGTCCAGCTAATAAACATTGGGTTTCTGCATTTTCCTTACAGTTTCTTGACACCTCTCAGTCTATTCTGGTAGACAGTGAGTAAAATGGTATGGGTCACTCTCTTAAGCGACAGGTCGTGTAGCATTTACGTAGGGTCCACGAAGCATAGCGGTCAAAACACGCATGTGAGATGGAAGCAGCAGCTACACTTGCCAGTAGTTGGAGGCTGTTCTAGCTCATTCAAGCGATTAGTAGGAAGATACATTGTCAATAAAATGGTATGTGAAGTAGATGGTACGCCGATCGACAACCGTCTTAGACACTCAGGACGCTTTGCGGAGCAATTCAAATGAGTTTAGCTAGCCTTTTGCTCTAATAACGACCTCAGTGTCTTGTGCTTCACCGTCAATTAACACATCCACCGAACGAAGTGAAGGTCTAAGGAATTCTAAGTTTTAGAGTTCTACAAGACACCTGGCCCATACAACGTATCCCTTACTCTTTTTACGGATGAAGGTGATTGTGTAGTCATAAAAGCAAGCGACTTAAATGCTCAAGTAAAAAAGCTAAACCAATCCAAAAAGCATCTTGGAGGTATCTACAAAATCCCATGCCAGCTAATCGATAACGGTGATCATCTCTTACAATTTTGTTTTGACAAACTTGTTTCTCGTCATCATTAACTTCAAGCCTAAGGATAAACAGTTGCTGTTAATGTCCACAGATATCAAACTGAATATGGAAGCAGGCAGATCAAATTACTATAACCCATAGTTGGAGAGGGTCGGTGGAGGATTGCCACCCTTTCTAGAGTACCTGTTTGGATTTCGACCGCGCGTTATTACGGTCACCTGCACGTCTGTGCCTTACTGGTTTTAGAAAACAGGTGGCATTGAAACCTGTGCACGCTGGGTTGGAAGATGAGGACGTCAAGTGTGTATTTGGGAAGGAGCAATCAACTGAACATGGCAGCAATTCTCTCCAGATGAAGCCAGGTGTAACATTCAGTTTGCTGTAGAAACAGCTGTAAAGACTGTTGGTAACCTACATCCAAAGGTTGGCAAAAGCCAGTAGGTTTCTGCAGCCTCATCTAAACTGATTGATGCTAGGAAACTGATTCCAGCTGACTCTGACCACAATGAAAAGCGAAAGCATCTGAAACGTAAATTCACTGAGAATCTGCGCAATTATTATGATCATTGGTAAGTGGCAAAAGCGGTAGAGATGGAGAAGTCACTAGCCTTAGGTAATAAATACATGACAATCGTTTAAGCTTATTAAGGAAGGATGCTGGCGGGAAGAAGACGATAGTTAGTGGAACGATCACTGACAAAGATCGGATCCTTCCAACCTCTCAGGACAGACGTCTAAAACGTTAGGCAGAACACTTTGAAGCACAGCTCCACTGGCGAACTGCAACACTTCAGTTGCCCAGCATATAGCCAACCCGAACCTAAATGGGATGAAGCCATTATTGGAAACATCTTTGGGAAAAGTCTCTTTAATGTATGTGGTATTCGTCGGGTACCTACATTATTAAATGCTATCATACCTTACAGGTTATGCAAACGCATGGTAAGCTGACTTACAATGAGCAGATCGTGTTTCGTTCCAGTTATGGATACACTGAGTGGATGTTTACCATCCGCCAAATACTTAAAAACCACGCGAGTCCTAGGCCAACGACCGCCGTTGAGTCGTTGGACAGGGCTGTATTCTGGTATTGTCTTTCATAAAGGGGTACTCTTTAGACGTTTGTTAAAATTTCTAAAGCTCTTTACCACCTATGGGCGAGTGAGGTTATTTGGGGCTGCTCAATTTCCTTATCTCTCTTTAACTTTTTCATCGATGACATTCTCGACACACCGCTGAAAAAGGTGCGTGGCGGTGGAGTAGTCATGTGAATTGATGACAGCTGATGGCGTCCACATGGGATGCCCACTGTCACCACCCCTAATTAAGTTCTTGGTGCACATACTAGTGGACATAACCTTTGGTACTTCTGACTTCACAGGGGTTGATTTACTCCTTGGAGATCATCTGGTTGACTTGGAATATGCAGATGATAATGCCCTTCTGAGTGAAGACGCTGACGAAATGCAGGGTCTTTTGAACGCGTTGAGCAGAGATCAGGCTATATTTGGCATGCGTTTCACTGGCATCTGTCAAATCTAAAATGATACTCCAGGACTGGTCTGAAACGACTAATGATAGGGAGTCAAGTAGTGGAATGTGTGAACCACTTCACTTACTTGAGGAACAGGCTGGTTGCTGGCGAAATCTCTTATCAGATACACAAGGCCTGTTTAGCGTTTGCCAACTTGCGTCCATCTCTGGTGCTGACAAGAGTGATATCCGACTATCTATCAAAAGACGAGTATACTGCTCTGCAGTCCGGTTTTTACTGTTGTACGGTTGAGACATGACCGTTAAAAGTAGACGACATACAGCGGTCGCAGGGTTTTAATCATAGGTGTCTTCGTATCATTATTCACGTTCAATGGAATCATCGTGTGACCAATGTTGGAGTCATGCGGAGGACACTAGGCAAGATTAGCAAGTTGATTGGTGAAGTTGTGAACCTTAGTCGTTGAATGAGATGTTTTGGACATGTACTGTGCATGCCGAACTACCACCTACCTCGATGTGCCCTGATAGGGGAGGTTGGATTAGGTTGGAAGAGGGTTCATGGTAGCCAGATGAAAACCTGGCACTAGTCAATGAAGTCTCTTACTGTTGGTCTGAGTAGTATGGGGAGATGTAGACTGCCTGGTTGGCGTGCCTGAGATGAAAGGGATGAGTGGTTGAGGAGTCTTGGTGACATGACTGAAAACCGGTCCTTGTGGTGCAGATGTATTCACTCCTTGACATATTCCAAAGCTTGCATGTTCGCACTAACCGTTGTCTTCAGATTGTTTATTTTCCCATGCAACTTCTACTTTGATATCACTGTTTTTCTATCCACCTGTTGTTTGTGTACTACTGTTAAGTGTGGCAACTTGAACGGATGCACCTGTGTGCGAGGTTCTATTTTGATTTTATCAGTCAGATGTAACCCTGCTAAGAAGTGACGGACGTATCAGCCTCCAGTGTGCAGGCAGTATTGCTATACTGTGCTGCAACTTACAATCTCACCCACTTAGTTAATGAAGCTGTCAGTGTTAGTAAGTATGGTATGTGCTTCGCACCGTGAAAGTGCAAAGTACTTCTACAATATTGGTAGGAGCATGTATCTGTGTTCATTATTTGTAGAGAACCATTGTAAGTTATCGAAAAGTTTGTGCACCTGGGTAGTTGTGTCACTGCTGGTGGAGATATGACCAATAAGATTTCCGATCGTACATCGAATTCAAAGCGGCATACTCTATCCTGGGTCACCCTTGGTGCCTTCATTACGTTAGACTGTCTGTAAAGATGAAGGATACGACGCGTTGGCATATACAGTTTTCCTCTGTATCTGTTAAACCTGGTCTGTCCGAGCTGAGGATTTTTAATCACGATAGGAATACTCGCATCTGGCGGAAACACCATGCATGTAATTCTGAGATGGTGATCGCTTGGGCCTAATGAAAATCATCATCCATTGAATGTGTTCATCTTGAAGCACCAGCTGCAGTGGCTTCAACATGCGGCTCCTACACCGCTCACTGGTTGCCTAGGACTAGTTGGGAGAAGCAGAGAGGGTGACCAGTGTATAACTTAGCGCCATAGGATGAAGGATAATTATTCTGAGTTAGGATCTGTAAGGACCTCATAACTCTCTGGATGCGGTTGAAGGAATTGTGCAACTCCATGGCTTGGAACAATAGCAGACTTGGCTCTGAATCAAGACAAGTGGCAATTAAACTGCCGTTTTCTTATTTCTTCTATTACCGAAAAGCCCGATAAAAGTAGTCAGTGCTTCTTTAAGCGTATCTTTGAGAGCTCTTCTGTATTTTTTTTCTATTCTTTCTTTCATTTTCGTGTGCGAACCTTCGTATTACTTTATTATTTTGTATGGCGCATCTCTTGGCACCTGTACTAAGTATGCTTTCTAAATGAATAACAAATTATTGACTGCACTTTTGTTTATGCTGTAATTTCGCACTTCTGTCCAAGTAACTATTTAATTTAGTTTTCATGGATTATCAATACCATTTAAAGCACTGTAACTGTACACCTTTTGCTAAAAGTCTGAAAATCTTCGTTTCTTGCAAATTCAACACTGATGATACTTTTGGTATGATTGGGTAGTCAGATCACAATTTAATGTGCAAGATGCTTGTAACAAATCTCATCTTTTATTCATGCATACACACCTATATGTGAGGGCTAAATATACTGTCTGACGGCTTAAACCTCGGTAGGTGGAGCGCTGCTTGAATCTGAGACTCACTAGTTGTAAATCAACTCCCTAAAACAATGAGTCAGCTCTACATATGCTTCATTGTTGGATATGCAATAAGTCGAATTACTATAGTAGTGATAAAAGATGTTCTCATGGTTTCTTTCAAAATGCTGTTTGAGGGGAAAATGACACAGATCATCTTCACACGAATTTTAGTTTAAAGTTTTATCCAAATAATCGACTTTCAACCCTCTCCAACGATCTTGGTAGACAACTTCACTATTTTCAGCAGTATACATTCAGCTTACAGTCAGTGTTAGTACACATTGGTTAGTGGTTTGTTCTCATGTTTTTACCCATTATACTAGTCTCACTAGTGGTCCATATTACTTTGGTAGCTTGACGTTTCTTGGGTCAGATATTTACCGGAAGTTAAAATTTACTACTTTTCCAAAACCTCTTTCATGAAGTTTCGTGTCGCTGAAACAACTTTGTGTAGACTAGTCAGTGAGTTATGCATCCATAGACAAGATTAATTGTTTAATTATTTCTTTTCCAACTACACGCGCTGTGGATTCTTTTCTTCGATCCTTATGGCATATCTGACCACTTCTGAGGAAAAAGTAGTTGATCTCTAAGTGAACTATCCATAGGGCAGGTATCGACAGCAAACATTGTCTTCCAATTCAGAAAAATTAGAAAGAGACTGTCTTGCATATTCATTGTTTTGTCACATTTCACTCCAAAAGTTCACTTACGACGATAATATGGTCGAAATACTTTGTTCATCATGCATTACATATATCTGCTGTGTTTACTGGATTGTTATGTTACTCAAGATAGTGTATTCATCTTGGTGACTGGAAGTAGAGTTCGAAATGCTCGTTTTTTCCTGATTGGGGCTCGTCAGTTGAATGTGCCTGCACCCCAGTATGTGTTGTTTGCACTAAGATTAACTGGAACGCAGGTACATCCAGCTGACGAGTCCCGAGTGGGGTGAAACGTGCGTCCTGGAATCCACTACTAGTCATCAACGTGAATATAACGTCATGAAAATATGAACTTATCAGGGCATCTGGATAGGAACCCATTTGCCAACGAAGGTTAATCAGTTTGATCATGTATAGCAACGGGAAATTACAGATATCATAGCAATAGTCTTCAAGATAATAATATAGATTTATTAGTTTTGTATAGTTTTCTTATCAACGTGGAGGTGTGGCGCATTGGCTTGAGCATTAGACTTCTACCGTTTGGGTCGTAGGTTGAGACCTCGCTCCACCCGGACAACCGGGTGGTATCATAAGGCTTCACATAAGTGCGGTTTATAGCCTAATGCATAATCATCTGTATCGGGTTGAGTTGTATTCGTGTGAATATGTAATTTTCATGTTGATTATCTTTTGTTCTTGCAGGTATAGTTTATATTTCTGCTCAATGTTTTTTCTGGGTAATTTATCATTTCAACGTTTGACTTCACACGTAACTTCACATTAAGTAATTGGCTTATACTTTTCCTATCCTACATGTTAAGAGGGGATTTGCTTCTGCCACCGGGTGTTCGTGTGCTACATGTAGAACAGGAAGTTGTCGGTGATTCAACGCCGGCTCTAGAAAGTGTTCTTCAAGCCGATACAGAAAGATGTGCTCTTCTTGCAGAATTGTCTCGTCTTCAAGCAGAAATGAAGAAAAATTCTGAAGCAGATTCCAACCTGTCAAGCGAGAATAATCCTACTACAAATACAGTAGAATCTCGAGCTGCAGAGATATACTCTCGTTTAAACGCAATTGAAGCAGATAAAGCTCCCGCACGAGCAGCAGTAATTTTACATGGTCTCGGTTTCACTTCAGAAATGCAGGTTGGTTTGTAAGCAGATTTATTTCATTCTCTCTAGTTGGTTGATCACCTGAACGTTTCCATAGTGTTAGTAACTTGGCTAAATTTTAATGCTATAGTTATTATATCTTTAAAAGAAACAGGCAGGAAAATCAATATAGAAAATGTTTTCTTGAGTTCCTACCATACTTTGATGTCTTAGTCAACTGCTGCTGGATTGCTGAAATGATCAGACTTTTTATCTAGCCATGTTACACTGGAGATCCAGTTGTACTGGGACAGTTCGTTGCGGAGTACTAAAATTCAATGCGACCCTGGTCAGTGTGAATAGCTATATCTCAATGTATACATAATATATAACAGAATCAAGATAGAACCTCGCACACAGGTGCATCCGTTCAAGTTGCCACACTTAACAGTAGTACACAAACAACAGGTGGATAGAAAAACAGTGATATCAAAGTAGAAGTTGCATGGGAAAATAAACAATCTGAAGACAACGGTTAGTGCGAACATGCAAGCTTTGGAATATGTCAAGGAGTGAATACATCTGCACCACAAGGACCGGTTTTCAGTCATGTCACCAAGACTCCTCAACCACTCATCCCTTTCATCTCAGGCACGCCAACCAGGCAGTCTACATCTCCCCATACTACTCAGACCAACAGTAAGAGACTTCATTGACTAGTGCCAGGTTTTCATCTGGCTACCATGAACCCTCTTCCAACCTAATCCAACCTCCCCTATCAGGGCACATCGAGGTAGGTGGTAGTTCGGCATGCACAGTACATGTCCAAAACATCTCATTCAACGACTAAGGTTCACAACTTCACCAATCAACTTGCTAATCTTGCCTAGTGTCCTCCGCATGACTCCAACATTGGTCACACGATGATTCCATTGAACGTGAATAATGATACGAAGACACCTATGATTAAAACTCTGCGACCGCTGTATGTCGTCTACTTTTAACGGTCATGTCTCAACCGTACAACAGTAAAAACCGGACTGCAGAGCAGTATACTCGTCTTTTGATAGATAGTCGGATATCACTCTTGTCAGTACCAGAGATGGACGCAAGTTGGCAAGCTCCAAATAGGCATTTTTTTCGCCAAGCTGAGGTTTCATGTACACACAAGTGTAAAAGTACAGTGTTGATTAGGATGATATGACAGTTTTTAGGTTTTACCCAATAGATAAAGGTGTTGTTAGTGATACTATCTTAACATTTTAATAATTGAGCTTAAACACTCCACTTTGAATGTTAAATATTTTGCTTTGTTCACATAGGAATCAGCTGATGAAAACATGTCGTACGAAGTACTTTTCAAGAATATTTGTTTAACATATCTTTAGGAAAAGTCTTTCACATCTCTTGGTTACGAAAAGCCATTTATTATATTTCTTTGGACATCGAGCCTCATAGAATGGGCAACTAGAAATTTCCAAGGTTCCACACTTTTTTGATGATTCAGGGGTTCTTTCTACTATGTTCATCAACCTGTCTCCTCAAGCACCTACTTGAACTACTGTCGTGTGCTGGGTCGAACATATATTACTGCATTCCAACCTATAGCTACTACCTTGGTGTGGTGGTTGGGCTTGTATATCACAATGACCCAACGTACTATTCTGATGGAACGCTTGCTCTTTGTGGTCCTAACATGTCAGAAAGGTCAATTGGATAGCAGTAAGGCAGAAAGCAGCTAGCATTTTAGTGTAAATTGCTATACGATGATTGGGGGGGGGAGGTCTAAGGTGAAGTCGTATTTCTGGATGGAGGGGTGTGTGACAGCAGTAAGGTGATTCCTGCGGATGACCGGTGGTGTCATGTTGGTGCTGCCTGCCCGGTGGGAGGTGAGGGGGTTAAAAAAGGTCTACCCAAAAATTGTATACTTTCTACTACCCTGCGGAATGCCATTACCGGGGACTTGGGTTCGTGGTCGGGTTAGCAGAAAGGAAACTAAAATTTCAAACATGCTAAAAGGCCACGTTTGGCTGTTCTCAAGCAGATGTCTCATGAGCTCTGCGGTCATGCACTAGCCCTTCGTTTTCAGGTTCCTCCAAAAGAAATTGCTTTTCACGATGTCGGCAGTCGGGAAGTATCAACCCTCCCTTACAAGTCAACACTCGAATTCCTGTAGATCGCTTTCTACCTTCCGTGTTATTACCTTCTAATCTTCACTTCTGTCGACCGATAACCCTACATTATAGATTTCTCCCAGGTCTGCAGTCCTTGATAGCTATCTGTGTTCAAGTAACAACGTTGTTGATCTCTTGAAACCAGGTTGCACATTTCATATAGGAGTCTTCAATGTCCACACCCCCGTCAAGTCAGACAACAAGCGTCGCTAGCCAAAACTTTGGAATCTGTCGCTATGGCCATTTTCTGCGTTTACGAGACACGTATACAGGATTCGAGTGCGGTTATCCACCTGACCTCACCCGGTCAGTATGGTGAAGCTGGGAAATTCACCCTTTGAGTTTCTGGAGATTTCATGGCCACTTCTCGCGGTCTTGCAGGTTTAAGTACAATATTGAGCACTAAGGTACAAAGTTTTCTACTCTATTCTACCTGGTTTGACAATCACCTGTGCGCTGTTCGGCTGAATGGCTCAGTGAGAACGAAAAGGAATGGTGAAACTCGCTGTTGTCTCTGTGTAATCTCTGCTCACGCACCCACTGACTGCAGTTCGAATGAAGTGAAGGACGAATTCTACCGAAAGCTATCTAGCCTCTTACTGGAAGTCAAATGTTCAGATATGGTTGTTGTTGAAGGTCACTTCAATGCACAATTGGGTAGGTTGACTCAAACAGAAAGGCACTTACATGGCACTTTCGGAATCCCGGTTAGACTGCTAGACGAACACATGAATGAGATCGCCTACTACGACTGTGCTCAGACCACCGTTTATTTCTAGCTGGAAAAAACTTCAGATATAAAGAAAGACATTGTCTGACGTGGTGTCCACCGCGCTCAACCTAGCGATGGGAACTGAAAGATCACATTGCCATCAGGAATCGCTGGAGAGGGTCTGTGAAAGACTGCCGCTCCTTCTGGAGTATGTGTTTAGATAGTGACCATGTGTTGGTTCCAGCGCCTATATGTCTGCATCTCAATGGACGTAGAAAAACTTAAGCAACGAGACCGTTACGAATACAGCTCGAAAATGAGAGGACTAAGGCCGCTTTCAGTGAGAAACTGGCTCATCACTTATCGGAACAGAGCATTTTCACTCATCCAGAAGAAGCTTAGTGCCATCTCTAGTCTTCTGTAGAAACAGCAATGAAGACCATAGTTGACTCTCAGAGAGTGGTTAAAAAGAGTCAGTGGATTTCAGCAGCTTCTTCTGAATTAGTAGATGTACATGAACACATTGCTGTAGGTGCAGAGCACAATGAAGGGTGGAAGCAGCTGTAATGTAGACTGATAAACAGTCTATGTAATGACCGCAACAAAGTGTTAATCAGTAAAGTCTAAAGAGATTGAAACACTTCGGCAACAGTTCACCCAACCTGTTATCCATTTGAATCTTCAATGAAACACTGAAAAATGATCCTCATCATTTTCAACAGTTGAAAAAGCTGTAAGTATTTTGAAACGAGGAAGAGCAACAGTGCCGGATGGTCTAGTACCAGGGGTTTTTAAGAACGGTGGTAGAGGATTTTTAGCCAAATTATCTGAAGTGTTAGGTTATAGTAATTAGTTATGATCTCCTTGTACTGATTGCAATCACTGATTGTCCCACTCTTCAAGAAAGTGGAGAAGTTTTTGGATAACTTCAGAGGAATCAGCTTAACGAACAGTGTCTAAGGTTCTAGGTTCTATAGTCATTAAACTTATGAGTGGAGTTCGGAAACAGCTAACCCAATGAAACCGAACAAGCTTCAGACATGGCTGTGTTACATTGACCAGATACTCACTCTCCGCTAGGTTTTGGAATGCAGGTATACCTACTGATAGCTGACACTAGCTTTATATAGCTACCGAAGGTGACATTTGACGCCGTCAATCTGGAGGTTTTACAGCAGTATCTCACCGAAAGAGATGCCGAGTAAGTACGTCACGCTGCTGAAGGCTCTGTACTTGAACACCCGTGGGCGTGTTAGAGCCTATGGCGAGTTGTGTACCTCCACTTTTGTCCGTGAGGGATGTCCATTCTTTCCGTTCTTATTCAACTTTATGTAGGTCTTCCTGTCACTGTGTGACTTTAAAAGGATTGATCTAATCGCAGGATAACCCTTAGCAGATTCAAAGTGTGCAAATGGCACAGTCCTGTAACGTGAAGACTGCCAAAATGCACAGTCTCCTGGATATATTCAGTGGCAGTTTAAGAATGTTTGGGATGGGTTTCTCGTTACCCAAATGGATATTGTTGATGCAGGACTGGTCTTCAGCGGTGCGTTGGCTTATAATAGGGAGTGAAATTGTTGAGTGTGTTGAACACTTACCTGGAAAGTGGGATCAGCCTTGGTAGATCGGTGGCCGACGAAATCTCTGAACGTATGCGGAAGGCTCGATTTACTTTCACCAGTTTACACCATCTATGGCACCGTCGTGGTATCTGACTGTCTATTAAGGGCTGATTGTACTGCACTACAGTTTGCTCTGTTCTGTCATATGAATGTGAAACATGGTCATTAAAGGTAGAGGACATGAGAAGCCTTCAGGTGTCCGATGATCGTCACCCTCGTATCATAGACCTTATGGTGTCACTGCCTTAGTAATATATAAGGGAGGTGTAGAGTCTTGGGGAGAAAAAGAAAGCCAGTTGATGAGGTTCTAAACTTTCATCGACCGAGCTGGCTTGAATACTTAGTATGTATGCCGGTTCACCGTCTACCTTGTCGCACGATGTTATCTGAAGCAGGTTCAGTCTGTAAAAGAGTTAGAGGTGGTGAGGCCAAACATGGTATCAATACATGAAGTTCTTAACTGTTGGTTTTAGCCGTGAAATGCAGACTAGCCGGTCGAGGTCCGCATGACCACAGAGACCAGTGGTTGGAGACTCTGGGTGACATAGTTCAGAATCGATCTCAGTGACACAGACATTCACATATTATCTTCATCTTAATCATTAAACTGAATTTCAGTATTCTCTCATTCTTTCTTTTCCTCTTTGAATGAATTTCTATCAGTTTAAATTGCTTTCGTCTTGGTCTCTTGGTCTTTCATCTCAGTTAGTGTATTCTCGCTTAATTGGTTGATATGAAGTGTGGCAAATTGAACCGACATTCAGTAATACCAGGTCCAATGTCTACATTTCTGCATTCAGAGTAGTTTCAGAAGCGTAAATTTTAGTGCTTCCATGTGCCGAGGCTAAAAATGACGGTATCCAGGGTATAGGTTAGGAGGCTGACGGAGTATCAGAGTAGTACTTTCGATGAAGTGTATTGATGTCATATCCAGTCAACTGAAGAAACATCATTGGAGGTAGCAACCAAAAACTGAATATTAATAAAACCAGGAGAGTAGCAGCTGCGGTGAAAGTAAATGTATTACAGAATAACTAATGGTCGTCAAAATAACAATAAACAATGTTAAATGGTGAAAGAGAAAGAATATGAAAGAATATTTGTGATAAGCAGTAGTTGTGGAGAATATATAAGGTTGCTAAGGTGGTTTTTCTGACAGTGGTTGTTAGAATAACATTTTTATTACTATCATTTTGACTCTCTAAAATGGCTGTGATTTAGCAGACTTGTGCCGCTACTGGGTGATGATTAAAGGTGAAATGAAAATCTGAGCCGCAGCAGGATTCGAACCAGTGGCAAATGAAATCAATGCACTATTTTTTAAGTTCCATGATTAGCTCACAGCTTTAAAGCGGTAGACAGTATTGTTCCGTCTATGCATAAACCATAGGATAAGATCTTTTGAGATCGATTTCAGAAAACACCATGCCAGTCACCCGGAACGATATTACGATAGTTCATTTACTTAAGTAGGTGACTCCTGGCGTATGTTTGAAATTCAGTCCGATGGCATTTACTTCTCCGTTCTTGAAAATAATGGAGAAGCTAGTAATACCTGTGCTTCAACCCTCATAGACGGTTTTTTTTAGATCCTAGTTAATGCTCATGCAAAAGCAAAAAAAAGCACTCTGAATGCCACTACTGTCTCATATCACACTATTGCTTATAATCTTGGTAGAAATGCCAAGCATTTTGGGTGTGCCTTTTTAAACTATATTTCAACGTTTGATTCTGCCCCAAGACCTATTTTGCTGGATAACCCAGCCCGGGACACATACGGAGTGGTTCATAATCAGCTGGCTGTATTCCTGTTTCTCTGAAAGGAAACAATGTACTGTTCACTGAGAGAAACGTTCCACCTTATTGCCTACTGAGACTGGTGTTCATCAAGGTGCCGTCATTTTCCTGGTCTTTTCTCTTTTTCTCTCTGTGACTTTCCATCTTCAGCTAGTATCAATTTTGTCAAATATGTTGATGACAAGACAGTTTCAATACCTCTTGCCTCTCCATCGGATTGTTCAGAACTCAGAAATTTGTCATCTGCCATTGGACAGTGGTCCTCCAGCAATAGTCTTGTGCTGAATTCTTAAAAATGTCAAACTATAAACTTTGGTTTAAAACGCAAGCATAACTTATGTAAACGGCTTAAGCCTCAAGACTCCTGTTCTATTGATGGCTGTGTATTGAAGAATGTATCAAGTGTGGTTTATCTTGGCATGTTTTTCTTACGATCTTTCCTGGTCCTCCCATATCTTACTAATTTCCAAAAGAATCTTTTGCCTAACTTACACTATTAGAAAACTCGGAGAATCAGCTTTTTTTCTTGTGAAACCGTGCATCTTGTCTATTCTCCTCTATTTTTGTGCGTTGTTCTTTTCAGATCGCTGAAAAAAGACCATGATTTTGTATTGCGTAGAACTCTGAGAATTGTCAGCAGAACTACTAGTGTGGCTCTAAACCTTCTAATTGTGGCCGTTGTAGGCAAACATTCTAACTCTGGTATGAGTTGTTTTATCGGCTGGCCAGCATCCTCTTCACTCCAAGCTCTTTCTAAGCGTTGGTTCTCAGGCAAAGCCAGTAGCAAGTATGTATGACTTTATGCACGTATTGGAAAAACTCCACCATACCTTATTTAGCTCTTATACGTTGCTATGATGAAAGTGACAGAAATGAAGTAACTAATTAAATCTTGACATAAGATATAGATTGTATTTGTGTAAAATCACAGTGGGTTTGAAATCAAATAATTTCAACGTTTCGCACAGAAGTCTAGTCACAGCTTTTTCAGGGAAATAATCAAAATTAAAATACCAAGGATATATAAATGAATTCAAAAAACGTGTTTCTAATCCCCTTGTCCAATCTTCTTCGTATAGTCATTGTCTTCCTAAATTATGATATCTAATCATTCAGTGTGAACTTGTATGTCTTTTGTTGTATGGCGTATGTATGTTATATGTACTCCAATTCATATTCTCCTTGATTGTAAATATCAAACAAAAAGGACATTGATGACAGTCATTCGGTAATTGCTTATAAGTACAAATGTAAAAGGATGAGGTGGATGTGTATACAATTTCAGTTGGAATAAAGTGGTGAATAGTGTTGGCGAATTCTCATCGCATTGATTTACCGATATAGAGTGTAAATAAGTGGTAGTTATGATAGTGGTGACGATGATGATGATGATGATGGTAATAATAATCATAATAAAAATAATAATGATGAACCAGATCAGTGCAGGTTGTGTTGTTGTCGATGCAGAAATAATGGAGTTGAGACCAGTGTTTTGAGTCACTCTTTCTGTTTACTAATTAGTAATTAAGGATGTCCCGAAAATCCCTCCGAAGAATTGGACAAGCACGGTCATAATCCCATACCGAAAGGAGACTTCAGAAGATAAGAAGGATTCTCAACAAACACGATATAAGAGTTTACTTCCGTGCAGCAAATATTCTACGTTCTAACGTAATGAAAATTAAGGATGTAGTACCTAAAGGAAATCAGCAGAACTGCGCCTATGGAATCAAATGCGGAGATTGTACTACAGTATATGTAGGGGAAACAGCCAGGCATGTAAGTGTGAGAGTCAATGAGCATAAACTATGCTTGAAGCATATCCCAAAAACCTCAGCTGAGGTTAAGAAACTAGAAAACAAATCCTCGATCGCGTTATACTGCATAGAAATGTGACACAAAATCGACTTTGACAGAACTAAGGTTCTACAAAAAGGTTTTGGGTCATACCAAGAAAGACTGACATCCGAGGCCCTACATATATAGGCGAATCCAGACAGTTTGAACAGACGAGATGGTGTACACTTAGCTGCCTCTTAGCAATTACTAATTATTAAACAGAAAGAGTGACTCAAAACACTGGTCTCAACTCCATTATTTCTGCATCATAACTACCACTTATTTATACTCTATATCGGTAAATCAATGCGATGAGAATTCGCCAACACTATTCACCAGTTAATTCCAACTGAAATTGTATACACATCCACCTCATCCTTTTACATTTGTACTTATAAGCAATTACCGAATGACTGTCATCAATGTCCTTTTTGTTTGATATTTACAATCAAGGAGAATATGAATTGGAGTACATATAACATACATACGCCATACAACAAAAGACATACAAGTTCACACTGAATGATTAGATATCATAATTTAGGAAGACAATGACTATACGAAGAAGATTGGACAAGGGGATTAGAAACACGTTTTTTGAATTCATTTATATATCCTTGGTATTTTAATTTTGATTATTTCCCTGAAAAAGCTGTGACTAGACTTCTGTGCGAAACGTTGAAATTATTTGATTTCAAACCCACTGTGATTTTACACAAATACAATTCTATATCTAATGTCAACTTTTTTATTCAGCGCCCAATATTTGCCATACTATACGATCAAATCTTGATCATAGTTTATATAAATAATTAACTGTTAAGAAAGCAAACGAATTAAATGCTACACAGCTTGCTATTATGACCATCTACTTAAGTTAAATCTAGATTTTCAAAAATGTTGTATATGGAGTAAATCTTTTTATCTTTTTTGTATGATTTTTACTTATTTCATTTTATTAGGTATACACTGTTTCTTTCCAATTGATACTATGTGACATGCTGAAAATTCTTTCAGCATAAAACCATTATTATTATTATTATTAAAGAGTATGCAAAGCACTTAGCGCATTTTCTGTGTTGATGATAATATTTTCACAAGTGTATTCAGAAAGATTTTGTTCCAAATGTTCTATCCCCATATAATTTATAGAGCAAACCGACAAAAGAATTTTCTGGTGGCTGGCGTATGCGTTTAGCTTTGGCACAAGCGCTTTTTGCAAAACCTGATTTACTTTTACTGGATGAGCCTACAAATATGCTTGATATGCGTGCTATCATCTGGTTAGAAGACTATATACAGGTAAGCTATATATATATACACTTCTCTCTGTGTTTTCTTAGTTATGATGAGGTATCTCCACACTGATCAGTACTAACCGTTTCTTGCCATTTGAGCAAAAACAAAAAAAACTATGTGTTTTTCATTTGTCGCAACTTTTTTTACACACTTTTGTTGTTGTTGTGGTGGTGGTTGACGTTTTGATTCACTTTAGAGTCTATTCGTTTGGACGTTAAGCTCTAATTGTTCGTAGTCTGCTAGGCTCATATCGTTCGTAGAGTGTAAGGTCGTACTACTGATTATAGCAACTTCACTAGGCTATACATCCAGTCGCATCCTGAATGGTGCATTGAGATGGGCCCCACAACACTAGCAGAAATCGAGAAAGCAGTAGGCAACCTGGAACGAGGAAGGGCAGCAGGACCTGACGAACTAACTCATGTGGTATACAAAGATGGTCGTAAGGTGCTCTTAGTCAGGTTAACGGAGCTGTTAGCTAGTATATGGGAATCAAATACGATCCCCTTTGACTGGTCTAAATCACTGATTATCCCAGTCTTCAAGAAAGGCGATAAGGCCTCTTGTGATAACCACCGATGAGTCAGTCTGACGAACATAGTGTCCACGATCTTAGGTTCTATAATTCTCTGACGCCTAAGTGGAGCTCGGGAACAGCGAGCCCGAGAAAACCAGTCAGGCTTTAGACCTGGCCGCGGTGTATCGACCAAATATTCACACTGCGCCAGGTTTTGGAACACAGACACGCTTACTGACGCCCGACAACAGCTGTTTTCTCTCGACCTGAAGGCGGCATTCCACTCCATTGATCGAGAAGTCTTATAGCAATGTCTCTCACTGAAATGGGGTGCCAAGTAAATACATCACCTTATTGAAGGCTCTCTACTCTAACACTTGTGGGCGTGTTACAGCCAATAGTGAGATGTCCGGGAAGCTGTACTGGTTGAGTGGTATCCGTGAAGGGCGCCTACTGTCTCCATTCTTATTCAATTTTATTATGGATATTCTTATTGAGGTCTCCCTCTCGTGACCTGACTACACAGACGTTGACCTAGTCGTGGAGAATTTTCGTTAGACCTAGAATATGTAGATGAAATTGTCTTGTTAGTTGAAGATGCTGACAAGCTGCAGAATCTTCTGAACACATTCAATGGCAATTTGAGAATGTTTGGGATGTGTTTCTCGCCACGCAAATGCAAATCGTTGCCCCAGGATTGGTCTTCAATGGTGTCCCACCGCAGCTAACAATAGAAAGTGTAGTGGTTGAGTGTATTGAACACTTCACTCACCTGGGAAGTGGAATCAGCCCTGGTGGCTCAGTGGCCTATGAAATCTCTTCACGGATACAAAAGGCTCGATTGGCTTTCGCCAACTTACGCTACCTATGGTGCCACTGTGATCTCTGATTGTGTATTAAGGTGCGCGTGTACTGCACAGCAGTCCGGTCTGTTCTACTATATGGCTGTGAAGCATGGTCACTGAAGGTGGAGAACATTAGAGGACTTCAGGTGTTTGACCGCCGTTGCCTTCGTAGTATAGGCTGTGTGTCGTGGTGTCACCACGTGAGTAACACAGACGTCAGGTATGGAGTTTTAGGGAGTAGAGGTAAATCAGTTGACGAGGTTGTGAACCTTCATCGTCTGAGATGGCTGGTTGGGACATGTGTTACGTATGCCACGTACGTGATATGGTTGGGAAGCGATGTCAGTGGCGCAGATGTATATACACACATTATCCTCATCTTAAGGCTATACCGAATCTCACCACTTTGTCATTTTTCCCTTCTCTTTTCTGGTACTTTATATTTCTTTTGACCTAATTTTCTTTTCTTAATCTTCCATTTGACTGCCTTTTTACTTGATGTACTGATATGAGCTGTGGCAACTTGAGCCGGTATGCAGTAATGCCTGGTCCTATGTTGATTTGGATGAATGGATGATTAAGGTATACAAACGTCACATACCGAGATTGCTCTTGTCAAGGAAACCGTTTCTAATTAACTAAAAGGTTTTAGGTCCTCTTACATTATGACATTTAAAATGCAACTTAGGTTTGGAAAGTTTGTCATGTGGATTATAGAAAATATCATGAAAGTACTCACTGATAATTTTTTTATTATTATCAATAGTTTCAAATTTTCTACCGTCTTTCAAAGTATCGTAGTTGAATTTATGTTTTTATGCTGTTTGCTTAATAGCTATTCTGATTTTACATAGTGTAATAAGTAGAGGGAGGTTATCTGAGAGATGTGTGGTATATTCTCGCAATACATGTCGACCAATCTGATCACACACATTAACTTGTCAAAGCATTTTATATAAAGGATGAAAATACGGTGAGGTGGGGGTAAAATCAGTAAATTAAGATAATACAAGATTTTGAAAATATGGGGATAATGGGGAGGAATAATACATTTCCACACCTCCCTTGGCATAAGCATGAAGTAAATATTACTAAGATAGATATAAGGTAAGGTCAAACTGTTTTTGAATATGCAAAGGGGGTTTTAACTTTCGTATAGCTAAGGCTTCAATGAACCAAAATATACGATCATGACGACTCCTATGCAATGATCTAAGGTTGTTTTGGGGTCAATCCTGTGACGTGTTTCTATAATGTGTTTACCTATCGATGATGATATCTGTCTGCCATCTGTATTTATCTAATCATTTGAATGTAATTGTTTTTCTAACCATTTTGGGATATGCTCCACCACCCTCGACTTCATAGTTTGATTACTCCCCCTCTCAATGTGTGTGCCACCCCACACACATGTAAATTAGCATACGCAGCGGGATGTGATGCAATCACTTGTGAAGTGATGAGGTTTATTTTGAAGCGTAGGTTTCGTTTTCTCGGTAATATTCAGCTTGGGTACACAGTATTTTTTTTAATAACTGAATTAAGTCTTCGTCTGAAAATCATAATGTTTAATTTCCTGTTATGCTGTAGCGTGATGTAAACATCCTTCGGGACAATACTAATTAGTTCGCATCGTAGAGACGTTTCTACAACGAATGATGAACTTCAGAGGATATGCCGTCCGTGCTGGCCGAGAAACCTGAAGGTTCTGGTTTTGACCCGTCAAGGGGTGGGGTCATGGATGCGCACTGCTGAGGAGTCCCATATTAGGACGTGACAGTTGTCCAGTGGTGCTCCCAGGTTTCCAACGTCCCTCCAATTGATGTCAGCCCATGAGGAATTCCAACCTGTAATCCAACTTCCCCTAGCATTGCATGTTGATGTAGGTAGTGGCTCGGCATATGCAGTACATGTATCGCTTTTATGGGTATCTCGTTTTCTAATACTTTTTCTGAATTGTTTATAGTTATTATGTTTTTACCAGTTTGTCAGACTTAAAAAATTTTTTAATTAATCTATTTCTTCCATATCATCTGTATTTGACTTTGTTTAGTCGTCCTCCAACATTCTTTTGATTGTTTCACATGACCGAAGTTTTTTGAATGCAGTTGCAACTGACATTATTCACTTGAACTGTAAGCGTTTGGATGCATATCGAGGTAATTACGATATGTTTGAACAGGCTCGTGGTGAAAGATTACTGAATCAACAAAGGGAATATGAATCTCAAAAGGCTGAACGTGAACATGTGCAAGTAGGTTAAATTAGTGTATTATATCTTGTTCTTTTCCCGTCATTCGTTTCGGTCCAGTTGTGATTTTAAACTGTTCTTTTTATTACTCCATATTGTGAGTAAACTTGATGGATTTTTCCTTAACTACCTACGAATCCTTTGTTAGTTTGCGCTTTTAATTATACTCAACTTTAACTAAGACTCTCTTAAGGTAGCCAAATGCCTCGCCATCTAGTTAGTGACGTGAGTATTCCTAACTGCTGACCAAATGCCTAGCCGAAGACGCAGATTTAATCGTTTTTGACTGGATAGTTGGCTTGCCGGCTATTCTAATGGGTATGGTATTTCTAGTCATTATCCAAACGTTTGATCGGCGGTGCAGATTTAAACCGTACTCCATGACTCAGGTGTTTATGAGACGGGGGAGTCTATTTACACGACGGTGGACCTTCTCGTGGTTTCCACTGATAATTAGATATCTAATTGCGGACTAACTCACTGTTTTTCCATATAACTCTAAGGTTTCGAAATAAAAAGACCCATTTAGCGTGGGTAGTGGTGAAGCTAACCAAAAGTACATGGACTTTCCAGGGAGCCTAACCTGTAAGCTCGGGGCTTCTCTTACGGTGATATGTTGTTTGGTATGTTATGGACGACGGAATAGTGTGCATCTTGCAATGCATGCGAGGTATGGCGAAGGCTGTAGGCTGTATGCCTATTGTCTCCCCTGAGCGAGATGCTTTTAGGACCGAGTTGGCCGGTATGGTTGCATATATTTCTGGTATGGGTTGCAGATCCACCCTGATAACTGCACCAGCGGTCGCTATCGAACCGTCAAAGCGATGGAGCTTGGGAAATAGGTTTTCGGAAGTAATTACCGAATGACTCCTGAACGTAGTCAGGTATCTGCTAATCATGCAGGCAGTAAGGGTGATGAGTGTGAGATACGACTGACCTAACAAGACACCCGAGGCCGCACACTCGCTGCCATCCGTGCTAAAGAGGTAAGGTTAGATACCCAGGACTTTGGGGGGCTCCGTTTGTAGAAGTGTTATGGCCTGTTGTGTACACCGTTTTCATACATTTTCGCCTAATTTGAAGTCGGTCAACTGGTTGGGGACATTTAACTAACCTATAAACAGGAAAGGTTTGTAAAAACCGCAATAACGAAATCACAGATTCCAATCCAAACCAACCTGGTTCTACCTTAAAGTTGACGGAACGATATACATGGTTATTAAGTTTGGTGAATAAATCTAAATTGATCGGATCTCAGTTCACCTATTTCAATTTGGTAACTACTAAACACCTTTATTATCCTCATTATAGTTACCACTGACAGTCGAATACACAAATCTGTAGTTATTTCCTGACTTTATATTCATAAAGTTTATGCGTTGTTGAGTGAAGTTATTCTTTATAAATATATTTTAAATTATGCATATATGCATAACATGGTAATTTCTAAGTTTTGTTGGTAAATTGAAGATTATATACCAACTATAAGTACACTGTACTTCAGTATTCGACTTAGCGCCGCAGTCCATTAGGAGTTACAGCGTCTCTATCTCAAACTGTTTCAACGTCGTCGATGATACTGAAGCCACCGTAGATAAATACTGTGCTTCTATAATAGTTGCTTGAGTTGTCGCTGCTATTCTTTGCGTTTCTTGATTCAGTAGTTCACTAATTAACTTGTCATCACCTTTAATTTTTAAAACCATCTCCGTAGGTAATGTGAATCATTTAGTAACTATTATCGAAAATCCTACTAGGATGGCATTTGAGGTTCTGTAATTTACTAGTGAAATAGACGGAAAAGATTTGTAGTTCAGGATGAAGATGATGGTGGTTTACTATTCTTTCAACTTTAATATTTTGTTGTGAATGTTTCATCCGCCAGGCTTTGTGATATCTTCAACTGTAACTGCATAAAGATGTGAAGCATATTAAATCCTCACACGAACGTTTAGAAAGTTTTTTTATTTTTCAGGTTGGTATTCATCATGGACTGTCAGTCGGAACGTCAGTCGGAAACCTGGGAACATTGGACAGCTGTTTCGTCTTAGTATGGTACTCCTTTGCAGCGAGCACCTATGACCCCACCCACCAGGATCGAACTCAGGACCTTCAGGTTCCTTGGCCAGCACATTACCTTTAAGCCACTGCTGAGGAGTCCTATACTAGGACGAAACAGCTGTCCGGTGCTCCCAGGTTTCCAATGTTCCTTCAACTGATGTCAGTCCACGATGAATACCGACTCGGAAAGTCACTAAATCCCCACAAACCCTCCAAATTTGAGTGTTTTTATTGTTTATGCTTTGAATACAAAAGCAATAATTCATGTTGCACAGTTTCTTAGGAGGATAATAACCAAACTGACGAGATGCATATATACACTTCCTACTCATAAATGTAAGGATTCTTAAAAAAGGTACACACAATATTCTATGAATGAAAAATGTGATGAGTAGCTTTATTTTCACATTTATATTATGCCAAGTTTCCACATTATATTTTTCTTCAGGAACTGTGTTTCATCTAACACTCTTAAAAGTAATCTTTGTTAATTTAAGCCTTGATACCAGTTGCAGAACCGATGAAAACCTCAGAGCACTGGGCAGTTGTTTTTATCCTAATTTGGAATTGTTTAGCGTAGCCCATCAACAACCTAATGAGGGATTGAGCGTAGGGCAGTCGATTGGCGTAGCAAGCGCATCACTATTCAGTCATTGGGTTAAAACAGTAGTTTTCTTCCAGTGAAACCTGACTGTCCTATGTCTCGACCCCCTCATTGGATTGTGGGTGTACAACGCAACAGCCTCAAACCAGGATGAGACAGCTGTCCAGGAATCCTAGGTTTCTAAGGTTCCTCCTATTGAATGCCAATTCGTGATCAAGATTACTTCCAAGTCAATGAATCTTCAAAAAATAACCACCACTACCACCAATTAAACTCTTTTGTTTAATTTTCAGCAATTCATAGATAAATTTCGTTTCAATGCAAAACGTGCATCGTTGGTTCAAAGTAGAATCAAACAATTGGAAAAATTGCCTCCTTTAATTCCACCTGAAAAAGAAGTTAAAGTTGTGATCCGTTTACCAGACTGTGAAAAACTTTCTCCGCCTCTTTTACAACTTGATGAAGTCTGTTTTCATTATGTACCAGATAAACCAATCTTGAATTGTGTCAATTTGAGTATTTCACCAGATTCCCGAATCAGTATTGTAAGTTATTTTTCGATTATAGTAGAAGAAAAAGGTACTTTGTTGAACGTATACTCATTTTCAAGTATGTAGATCTATTAATTAGAGTTTATAAAGTAAACAGAATGAAGAGATAAAATACAGTTATATATTCCTTTCACGGTTCCATGTATGAACTTACAGACAGACAAAAGCCACATAGAATCTCTCACACAACTGCATCATTTCAAGTTGTCACACTTCTATGTAGTATACAAAGAAGAAGTAGATAGAATAGAAAAGGACTTTTATCAAAGTGGACAAATGTGTATTGGAGTGAAGGGAATTTAAAAATTAGGGCTAGTTCAAAACAACCAAGCTTTAGAAGGCATCAACGAGTGAATATATCTGTGCGATTATGACCGATTTCCAACTATGTCACCAGGACTATTCAACCACTGATTCCTAAGGTCTTGAGCACCCTAGCCTCCTTACATGGCTCAGACCAACATTTAGAGACTTCATCGACTGATGCCACGTCTTGGTTTGAGCACTCTGATCTCTTCCTCTTCAAACCTAATTCAACTTCTGTTTGCACTTCACATCGAGGTAGACGGTGGCTCGGCATATGCAGTATATGACCTAGCCACCTCAGTCGGTAAAAGTTCACTCATAATAACAGTATAATAACTTGTTTAACTGTATCCAGACATAAAAATCTTGAATATGAACTCGATAATCGGTATTAATTAAATGATGAGAGAGTATTGAGCTCTGTATCAATCTTGTTTATCCTTTGCCTAGCCGTGAAAGATGATGTTTGGCGATTCGACAACAGACTTGTCTAACTGTACACGCAATATAACTATCGCCATACAAGCAATTGAACTGGTAAATGCACATAGAAGAGGCGAAGTCATCATCGGTCGACTGTAGAATGCACAGCATAACTTTGCTGTGTTAAATGATCTCCTTGTGGCTTTTCTTAGGAAGTGTGTTACAGTTTCTCTGATGATCACACATACGACAGCGGTTTCTTGGAAGCTTTGGGTACTCTGATCTTTTCATTAGATACGTTCATATTTCTAGCTAGAAACTTTTGTGGATATCCATTACTACTGAGTAGATCACTGTTAATTTGAAGTTCTTCGTCGAAAGTATCATCTGAACAGATAAGTTTTGCCTGATTGACCAAGCATATGACTAAATTTTGTTTCTATTGCAAGGGAGAAAAACTCAAAAAATAAGTGTATTGACCAGTTGATATTAGTTTCCGGTATACACTCCTTTTTATAATTCCATACGTCGTCCGTTACATGGTGTTGGTACATTCCTAATTCCAAAGGAGGAGAAGGATGAGAGTACCATACTGGATAAATTTAGTAGCGTTTACCTAGCGATAACCTTCACCACTGGGAGAGATAGTGACGGTAGCATTATCTTCTTGGATGTCAGATTTACAAGGAAGATAGGTGGAACGGTAGTTTCGTGTTAGCTACATTGTCTGTGTAGGTTGTTGGCGCATTTCATGTTTTGATTAACTTTCTTTTTGTATTTTTCTGATATCAACTCTCTCTCTCTCTCTCTCTCAGTGTATTATTCTTACTCACTTAGGTTGGTGAAAATGGTGCAGGTAAAACAACGTTACTTCGAATTCTACTTGGCGATTTGGAACCCACCTCAGGATTACGTCATTCACATCGTAGTTTACGTATTGGATACTTCAGTCAACATCATGTTGATCAGTTAGATTTGAAATTGAGCAGTTTAGAGTTTTTGATGAGAAAATTTCCAAATCAAGCTGAACAGATTTATCGTTCTCAATTAGCGAATTTTAATATAACCGAGATGCTTGCTCTTCAACCGATTGGAAGTTTATCAGGTGGACAGAAATCACGAGTTGCATTTGTTGCAATGTGCATGTCTAAGTAAGTCGTCTGACTGTAAATTAAATAATGATGATCATTCGTCTGGTTAAGCGTAATAATAGGTGTCGAACTGATTATCCTTCGAGAAAAAAACAACTAAACTCAGTAAGCAACGTGTATATTCATTCATATGGTAATCGGTCAAACTCATTGTTTGAATGCTAAATGATATTATTCGATCGCCCTTACCTCGGTACATGAAACGAGATTAAAACCAGTAACCCAGTGATTGAAAGTCAGTACCATAGCTCCATTTGTCCGTTACGGATACCGCATGATTGATTTGTATCCATACCTAGATAAATAATGTAAAATGAAATGATTGACGAGTTGACAAATAATCTTATTGAGAGAGTAATGTCAGTTCCAAAGGGCTGGTTTTTGACAAAATATTGTTTTGTTTACAAAATACTTGTTTGATATTCACTAGTTCGTTTACGCAATCTTGAGCACCATTTTGTGTGGTTTCTATTTCTTACCTTGCAAATCGGACGCGTTGTTTTAGGATCAAGGAAAATTATGAGTATCAACAGTAGCCTAGCTGACAACACATTGGCGTTTAAAGCGATAGGTATTGGGTTCGAGCCCCAATAAGAACAACATCAATCATTTAAGTGAAAGTACATCTAACTGAAGAGTCCCAAACAGGACGAAACGCACGTCTTGGATTTCATTGTTGGTCGTCATCACCAAAGAAATATATTGGCATCACTTTCTACTTGAATAAATATTAAAATTTACAACTTCAGTTCAGCTTATTGTTTAAGTTATGTTGATGAACGATTGAACACCTTTGACCTTCCCATTTCAACTCTTAACTGACATTTTGATATCTTACTCATGCAACAGATGATGGACATTGGAAAAAAAACGAAGTCACGTTCGTGTATTACTAAAAGCATTCCCTATTGTCGAATCAGGAATCAGTTTCTGTTGGCCTATGATCTCCTGTCTGTGTAGGTGCCTATATATTGCTTGCAGATTCATTATGATGCAGTTTACTGGTGTCAATGAGAATGCTATCACCTATTGGGATGCAAGTTTATCCGGCTGATGATGAGTCGTGGATTACGTTGTGTTTATGTATTACTACTACTTTGTTGATTGGTTAAAAAAAATTGACATCAGAATGTAGATCAATCTCGTTTAACGTAATGATGGACAGCGGCTAGCTTTAGAATTCAGGACGCGCGTTTCGTCCTATTTGGGACTTGTCATGTGGATGTACTCGCACCCCAGTGAGTGATATTTTCCCACATTCAGCTGACGAGTCCAAATAGCATGAAACACGCCTCTTGGATTCCACTACTAGCCACTATCCATCAATAATGTTAGGATGGAAAATACGGGGAATACCGAGGCATCCACACAGGACCTCATGTACCAATAGTTGCTTATTAATTCAGTCCAGTCAGCGACAGACATTTACAAACTGTGACATCAGAACTCATTTTATTTGCTATTCTCCACCCATTTATTTGGGTATTATCTAAACCGATATGTTTTACAGCTACATAAAGTTACTTAGAATGAATATACACTTTAAAATCTGTTGTAATTACCTGTTATCTTACTTTTATCTTTCATCTATTAGCCCAAATCTACTGGTACTCGATGAACCTACCAATCATCTGGATGTTGAAACAATTGCTGGTTTATCTGATGCCTTGGTTAAATTCCCTGGTGGAGTTGTACTTGTTTCTCATGATGAACGTCTTATCCAAGCTGTATGTAATGAGGTGTGGGTTTGTACGCGTATAGGGCTGGACCCTACAGAGAGTAACAAAGGAAGCCGGGTATACTCATTACCAGGTGGTTTGGATGAATACAAGAAAGCTGTTCGAGTTGAACTTGATCAAGTAAAAGTGTGATATATAATATATATAGATATGCATAATGTATTTATATGGTTATTAAAATGACGTTTTGTAGAGGATATTGATTTTTGTTATGTAAGATCATCTAGATGGATTATAATTTTCGCTATTGCTTCATTATTCTCCACCTATTTTCTTTCAATCAGATGCCTTACTCTGCTGTGTATTATTTAATGCACCATTATTTAAATATAGACTTACAGTGGCTTTTGTTTTTTGCGAACAAAATCATCTGTAGACATCTATTCTATGGGATACTTAAACAGATTCAACATTTTGTGAAGTTCAAATATTGGATTTGGGGGTTTGTGGGGATTCAGAGGTATTTTAAGTTGGTTTTCATCATCGACTGGTATCAGTTAGAGGAATATTGAAAACCTATGAGCACTGAACGACTGTTCCGTCCTAGTATGGGACTCCTCAGCAGTGCGCACTAATGACCCCACCCTTCCTGGGATTGAACCCAGGACCTTCAGGTTCCGTAACCAGCACATTACCATTGGGTTAGCCACTGAGTTTGGAATCCGACGTTCCATATTTCCAACTTCTGTCGGTTCACAACATGGCGCGACCATCACCCAATGTCATCGTTGAGTATTTGTCCTCACGACCACCAGGTAACGTGCTGGCCATGGGACCCGAAGGTTGCAGGTTCGACCCCCGGTGGGGCCGTGGGTGCGCACTGCTGAAGAGTCTCATACTAGGACGAAACAGCTGTCCAGTGCTATCAGGTTTTCAATGTTCCTCCAACTGATGTCAGTCCATGATGAAAACCAACTTAAAACTCAAATATTTCCTAACTATTATTTTTGTTAGTGAAATGAGAATTAAGTGACATCTAGGAATTTACGCCGGTGTTTGAAACTGTTAATTTTATTGACTTTTCAAACCACTTGTGTATATCGATCGTAATGCTGCTGACCGACGCTAATCAAATAAATCCTTCACAGACGTCATTCACCTCCATTATACTCAGTTCGAATGCCCCAGTGGTTCAGGGGTAACTTTCTACCCACAGAACCTGAAGGTCCTGGGTTCGACCCCTAGCAAGGTGGCCTCATGGGTGCGCACTGTTGAGGAGTCCCATACTATAGCGAGACAGCTGTCGAGTGCTCGCAGGTTTTCAATGTTACTCCCACTGATGTCAGTCCGTTATGAATCCCAACTTAAAATAGCCTATTCTGTTTATAGCAATGTATACCAATACATCTAACATCATCGTATGCGTTGTCCAATTTTGACTTATTTTGTTTTACAATCTTATTGAAGGTAAAAAGTCAGCTTTAGTATTTCCTTCTTCATTTATCTCTTATATCTGTGAAGAAAATGACAGAATCAGTAAATTTACGATCACTTTTCTAATTTTCACAAAAATTATGGTGTAATTCAGTGTTACATCCGTATAGTTTAAGGTTTATGGGGATTTTATTTTTAAGGTTGGCATTCATCACAAACTGACACCAGTTGGAGAACCATTGAAAACCTGGTATCACTGTCTTGTCCTAGTAGTATAGGATTCCTCAGCAGTGCGCACCTATGACGTCGCTAACGATCGAACTCAGGACCTTTAATTTTCACGGAGAACGCGTTAACCATTCAATCAACGGGTCGGATTTCAATGGTCCACAGTTTCCTATTTCTTTCAGTGCTCACTGTAGAGCGATTATCCACCAAAGCCTTCAACTTCACTTCAGATAGGTTGATCGTACTGGTTACGGCTTCCTCGAGGGAACTGATATCCTCTTTGGGATTCGAACCCAAGACACCCAGTGTTTCAGTCGGCGATGTTCCCACTGAGTTATTTGTCTGCGACTGACCTTCTGTTAGGCTGGATTACATTGATTGGTCACCGCAGAGCAACCGATCTCATGTTGGCTAATCGTAAGTGCTGAGCGAATTCTATACGTTATTTTGCAATTTGGCCTCGAGGTTGGGAGGCTAATCATCTTGATGCACTTTGAAAGATGCTAGTTAGTTGAAGGCAATCGGCAGGAAGCGGCCTTGAACCTAGGTTTCGTGCTCGTTGGAACTTGTCAGGAAGGTGTATCTGCAACCTTAAGGGAGCTGATTTTCCGGCAGAAATTCGAACTATCATCATTCAGCGTTGCAGTCAAAGACATTATTACTGAGCTATTTTCGCCACAGTTAACCCTGTGTAGGAATGTGTTAGATACATTGGTTGATCACTGAAGGGTGACCAGTTCCGCGTTGTGTAGTTCTAAGTGCTAATCGAATTTCGATCACTTGGCAATTTGATTCCTAAAGTAGGAAACTCGCCATTATGGTGCACTGAAGCCCTATATGATATGTGTCCAGATCTTTAAAGGGAAATTAGTCTCCTCAAGGTCACATGAACATTTCACTACCGAGTGCCAACTCAACCACCAAATCAATGTCTAGGGTTCTTGTTGATATCCTCTTACCACAAAACATCAATTACACTGCACCATGATGACGAGTCTTTGCTTGTCGCCATACCTTGTAGAACTAGGTGTAGTGTTTGTTACGTTTCTTCCGGTGATTGGTAACATTTCGTTATCAAGATACGCTGCTGTTCTTTAAATTTATGCAAGATGGTGTGCATTGGTTATTGAAGGATAGTTGGGGCCATTTTCGCAGTGAATGATAGGCGATGGTGCTGAAATATTTTGAGGTGTATTAATCATTAACAATCTCCTGCGCTCAGAGGGCGGTTGGCACTTTGAGGTACTCTTTACCTAAATCGATTTTCGTAAAAGTTGTAAACAGGTCTACAGATGCATGTTATGAACAGTGATAGCATGCTAGGAATGCTTTAAGTTACGTAGAGAAATCACCACATTCGAATTGCACTGTTGACTTTTTGAACATAACAATCACTGTTACCCATCGAAATATCCAATCTATAACCTGTCAGATAACATCTCATCAGTGAGACGTATGCACACAGAACGAGGTCGTTTTGACCAAGAAACTGTAAAAGTACACCTTTTGTCGTTGTGCAACAGCCTAAACCGGGCTAAACAATCCCTGCAAATTCTTTAACAAGTTTCATCGCTTGTATCTCACAATTAGCCACTGATTTCATATTGCATTGGACATGATACTGTGGGAAATCTCTACAACATGTAAGCTTTCACTTTGCTGAGGTAGTACATACCCTCAAATGTGACATCGTGAAGTGGAAATAAATAGCCTGCGATGAATATATACGTTACAGGAGCTTGCAACAGTCTGATTTGTCTTCAGAATTGGGACACAATCAAGCGTTGACAACAAGCCCTAATATGTAAATACAAGATGATATATTGATGTGTTGGTGTGGTGTTGATGTACTTTCTCTGCTCTGAATTGCTGATATGGTGAAAAGTTGTGATATTGAGTTACTTTCGTGAGCGCTATCTGAACATATTTCTCCACTGTTTCATCAAATATTATATCACGTGGATTCTGTAGTGGGACCAGACTCCAATATTTATCAATTCATCTGTTTCAAATTTTCGTCAGAGTTTAATTCTGCTGGCATCACTTTACTTATCGAACTCAGTTCTGAATAAATTTACAGAACCAAATATCAAAAGTTACATTCGTATCCGGGTCATAAACGAACTCTACAATACTATTACAATAATATAGCATCAAGAAGAATCGATGGATTGGGGAACACATCAACATGCGAAAACTAGCCAGTGTTTCCATCATGTCTATCTGATGCTGCATCAAATGTCTGCATTGAACTGCGCCGATTGCAAAATATCATTCATCTCCACCGTTGCAATTCTTCACATAATCAATTATCTTACGTGATAGCTTACTCTTAACCCCATATCAAGATACTGCTACCTTCAACACATGCGAATATATAAAATGCTTTCGATATTGTTAACAAGTAAGATCAACTATACATTCAGAGTGGCATCAGCCAACAATGGAGTAAGCCTTAGAAATGGTGGCAAACTTATGCTAGTTATGGTGTATAAAAAGGCGGAGAACGGTGGATTCAAATCTAAAATGTCAGTCCATCAGTGTAGTGATCGAAAATCACCACAGTCCTATGTAAAATTAGGGATTGGGTGTATCTTTTTTGAACGCAAGGACCAGTCTTGAACTGATGAATTGCCAGACCTTTTGCGTTGAGGTGGCGAATACGCACTCCCTTGCTAATGTTTGGTCTAACTTTAAAAGAATTATCCACGACCAGCTCTGAAACTTACTTTATTTTCTCAGGTTAGTTATCCGTGAGCTTCACATAGGCATCTAGTGATTATAAATCACAGAAAGTTAGGGACTATATTCTTCAGGTCGATCCCCTTTTGGTTATCGCAGGAGGATTTCTCACCTTTCTTGAAGATTGGGACCGGTCGACGAGGATCGTTTTTGATTCCCGGACAGTAGCTAACATTTCAGCTAGTTTAGTCAAAATACCTCAAAACCTCTGGTACTAGCCCATCTGGCTATGGCGCTCTTCTCAAATTATGCCCTTCTCAACTTCTGAAAGATTTGCAACCTGCTTCAATGTTCCATTTGGGATCCGACTGCGCAGATGGCAGCCGACGACTACATCGAAGTCAGTGGACTGTTGCAGTCTTCTGCTTTGCGATTAAGTTGTAGACCCATCTTTCTCCGCTGTAGTCTCACTAACCATTGACCTTTTCGTTCCAGCTTCCCAGATAAGTCTGCCTACCATTATCCATCGCCCCTGCCTTTTCCATCGCTCTAGCCTTCGCTACCCCCCACTGTTCGGGGTTATTGTGCAGACGATTTGTCAGTCTGGCTCTTTCTAACCGCTTCTTGAGAGTCAGCTGTGACCTTCAATGTTGCTTTTACAGCAGACTGGAGATGGTACCAGGCTACTCGCTACTCTTGTCCTCACTGTGCCTTTCAGTTGAGCAGCGCACAGGCGACCACCAACTAGGATCCAGTCGAGGAGTCCACTTTCTCCTCCATCTTTTAACGCTATGCTTACACTTGCTAGACTGCGGGAACTAGCCATCGAATCTCCAGAAACTCGAAGGGTGAATTTTGCGGATTCACCATACTAATTGGTCAAGTTTAAGTGAATAATCGCAATTAGGTCTGTGTGTCTCAAGAACACAACCCGAGATCCCACTTTTAGCTATCTAAGCTTGTTATTATTGTTGTTAAAATCCAAGATATATAGGAATTCGGCAGGAGTTTTACTAGAATATATTGACAAGCTCCAGAATTGTACATATTCCACAAGTAAGTGATAAAGGTGTTTTACAGTGTTACCAATGTATGCAACTGAAAAAAAAAGCATGATTAACGGAGAGAACAGTACAAATTAGATCAATAAAGAACACAACTGAACTAAATGATGAATACATCAACGGTGAAAACTACAAAAATGACAATGATAAACCAAAACAAAAGCCACTTTTTCAATTACATTTTGTAGAATTTACATTCAAATGAATGCCATTAATTAGATAGGCGAAAGAATAACGAAAGACATTCCAGTTGAATGACTCTGGAGGTGAAAATTAAATTAAATCATTTATTGTACGTTATGTGAGTCAATCTGGCAATGAAGAATGCTGTGGAAAAAAAAGGAGGGGAGTGCGGGGGGGGGCGGTTACGAATTTGCCGGTAGTAAGAAGCAAAGGTGAAAAATTTAAAATGAACACGTAAAAATGATCTCGATTTGTACAAATTTCAAAACAGTAATATTCTGTTTACTATTTTTTGGTACTTCTGCATATTTCTTTATGATAGAGAAAGAGTAAAAAAACAAAAACCTCAACAACAACAACAAAAAAAGTATAACATATCATTGACATTGTATTTTTACAAACCATAAGTGTTCTTCCATTTCTGTTCATCCTCAACTTTAGCCTCAGGTCTGAGTTGATTACGTAAACCGCCTAGAATATTTGCTGTTACCTGTGAGAGTAATGCAAAAACAAAAGAGAGAAGAACAAGTAACATTTGTATTGATAAAAGTAAATATAAATACTGAAAAAAAGCCTGATGAAAAGTTTACAGTAGTATCCAACACGAACTGATATCATTTAGAGGAACATTGGAAACCTAAGAGCATCAGACAACTGTTTCGTCGTAGTATGGGACTCCTCAGCTGTATGCACTCACAACTGCGTACATTGAAAAAAGAGTTTACCTTTATAGTCTGGTATGTTACGTTGAAATGACAAAAAAATTTATAAATTTTGTAAATTAAAGTTATTAATCCGAGTCTTATGTAGTGCATAGTTAGTTAATCATTCCCCTTACTTGTATAATATACAACTCACAGATATCCATTTGTCAGCACAAAAACAGAAGGATTGTTCTCCTTATCTGGCAACTTGTATATTTATTGGATTGTCTATATATTTAAACCACTGTCTAATTGGACATTTAACATTCACCAAAGAAATCTTAACAGTCTGAAAATTGGATGACTGGATCACCTTTTCAAGATTATACTTTTATTAGGAAAGATTAAACATTCTCATACCAACAGGAAGTAAATACCTAAATTTGCAGATCTTTTCCAAACAATTCTACACATGAATATGCACATCAGATGGCATTGAATATGACGACAAGAGAAAGGAGAATGGAAAGGATGAGAAGTAATGATTCAAGAAAATAATAAATGAAACACATTTATCATTGGAACTTATTCACAAGACTAGCACAGACCTCTATGATTTGAGGAACTATACTAACGCAGAAGGAATGGTCATCGATAAACTCATAGAAAAGGTGGTTAAAGCAATGATGAAATGGTTTTGATGAACAATCTCTAAAAAGATACTCAGTTAACAGCCACTCAATCAGATTCTGCACAGAAAATTGGGATCTCTCTTCGAATTATGACAAGAATTGAGGAGGCAGAAGTCTAGGGAGGCTAACTCAAGTACCATCTACACTATGAGAGTCAGAGATATTCTTTTCACATTAGTCTCCTCACAGTTTATAGGAAAGGATATAAATCTTGTTATGGCGAATACAGATGAATCCAATTTGTTTGTGCGTATTTAGTGATTTTTAAAGTTGGTATTCATCATCGCACTATATTATGAATTGACAGAAGTAGGCAATATGGACTATTGGGTTCTGATTCACTGATAACGTGCTGGCCACAGAAGCCGAAGGTTCTGGGTTCGAGCCAGGTGGGGTCACAGGTGAGCACTACCGAGGAGCCCCATACTAGGATGCGACAGCTGTCCAGTGCTCTTAGGTTTCCAGTATTTCTCCAACATGTCAGTCCATGATGAATACCAACTTGAAGAATACAGATGAATTAGAAAACCGTAATTTCAATAATTATTTATTCTGTAGCTGGAGTTAGGAGACAAAGAATGAAGTTCTTTTATATAACAGTTAAATCCAAACGGATCTTCTAATCAAGCATATTCAAAGGCAGGGTAAATCGGAAATTGTTATATAAGTCAGTTGACAACAGGCAATGGTAGTCCCCAATAGATAAAAATCAACAAAAAAAACAATTCAACGAATTATTTCCGAAAGTTGCACAATCATAATTATAGTTACAACGAAATAGTAAAGTCAAATCAAATATTTCAAAGGGAGTATCGATTCATCACCTGAAGCTTAAGCAACTCAAAGGGTTCGAGCCCAAACTCAATGTTTGAAAGAGACATATCCAACCTCTAATTTTTATACTTAATCATAATCTCCCTAAGAAATTTCACTTACTTCCTATTTGGCTATTTATTCCAATTTTGGTGACCTTCAGTTGACCTTCCAGCGATAACCACTTTGTGACCTAATTGGTCGTTTTTGAGAATGACTGCTAAAATAGCCAATCAGATCTAAATATTTCATCTGGGAAGGTAATTACTTTCAAAATGAAGAAACATGATTGGTTATCTCAACAGTTGCTAGAGCGGCTTTTAAAGTCACTCGTTTTTAACGACTTTGTACTGACCAATTAGTTGATGATAGATGTATTATTTTGTTCTAACTATGGTGGCGATTGTACAACTTTTGAAAATGACTTTTCGAAAAGAAAATTTTTCTTCGATGAACTGTTTTTTGTTAAACACTTAAACTTTTTTACGAATTAGCCTAATTTATTGACCGTATTCATTTTGAAGACAACGAATTCTATCGATATGGCCACCAAACTAGGAGGCTTAGCATCGCGATGCACTTTAACAGATTGTTAATTGGTGTGAAGCAATCGGCAAGAAATCCTGCTTGACTACACTTAAGTTTTCTGCTTGTTGGCACTTATGGTTGTTATAACTGTTGCATATCGTAAAGAAATGCTGGCAATATGATACATGAAATTTTAAACTGTAAATTTCAGTGAATCATGTACAGATGAGAATGAAATTATGAAATACAACTAATTATCGTATTGTACCTCACAACCGGCTACGATCGGTGTAACCATAGTCGGTGGTATTTGACGCAATACATCACCAACCATCCCCACGGGACCTTTGTATCCAATTTCAACTTCCGAAGGCAAAACAGTAGCACCACATAAGTCTTCTGCTACCATTTGAAATCCTCGTGTCATCACATTGACAGCATTACCAAATCCTTCACGTAGATCAGCTGGTTGTCTTAAGTGTAATCGTCGACTTCGTAAGGCAGGTCCAGGTGTAACCAAATCATAAGCCGTCTAAATCAAGCAGGAATGCAGAAAACATTTAGAAGAGTGATGAAATTTACCGCACAACAAATACATTACAGTAGTAATCATATTCATCGGCTAGTTTACACACTTTACAATACTGTGAGGTTGTAAAATGTTTTATGCCGTGTGAACTCTTATCAACATGGTCATTCATTGGTAATAGTTTGAATATTTTTTTTTAGCATATTATAAAAGTGATCAGTGTGACTGTATGAAATAGCCGTGGTTTGAATTCTACTACCATCCAGATTTTCGTTTCACCTCTAAGCATTGAATCGAATTGAAATCCCATTCAGCAACCTTGTAAACATTCGTGCAGTAAGCAGTGAGTCACACACCTATTGTGTATGATAATTACTACTTGGCTGCCGAAATCTTCGTAAATGGGGCGGTGTTCAAACCCACAACTCCCAAAACCAATAACCTATAGCTCCAATCATTACACAGTATCAACATTATTTCTTTAATAAATTCGGTTGATGAATCGAAACAACAAGTGGATCGCTAGAAAAAAGCAACTGATTAGAATTAATTTGTAATTTAATAACCATTTGTTCGATATCATTCACTAAGAAATATCATTATCAGGAAATAAATGCTTCTTTCTCTTGAAAACAACTTGACAGATAGCATAGTAAGTTTGAACAACTTCTGATATGCGGTTAAGTAAATGTTAAACAGGTGAATAAATTGCTCATGTGCAATTATCCCATGACCGCTAAATATGATCTGGCAGTCTACGAGCGATACGGATCTATCGCGCAACGAATCTACTCTAATCCGTAATCAGAACGGCAACCATAACAATAATGCTATCGGTACATGAAGACAAGAAGAGAAAACGGACAGTTGATAAAGAGCTTCTACTGTTTCAACAACAGTCCAAAAACAGTTGAAAACGATACTGAATACGCATACATCCTAAATGATCTTGACGAACACTAAATCCGCTGGTAAGTTCAAAGAGTTAACAACCAATGAGACTTCAGCGTTCAGAAGCAATAGGGAAAACAAAAGCTAGCAACGGCACTAAGAGGACGCGAAAGCAGCAATAATCGACTTATTTTAAGGTTATAGGCAAAAGTTAAACAAAATTAGGGGTATACAACAAATTCGACAAGAGATGTTAGTACCTCGCTGGTATATGAACGTTGTATACATATATTGCTGTTTGTTCTGGATGAAAAAGACTGAGGGCGAAAAAATCCCCTTGTGATTACTTAAAGTATATATATATATATATATATATATATATATATATATATATATATATATATATATATATATATGCTATCAATACTATGAAAGTTTTGTTTCTGATAGAAACACGTCATTTCATCGACCTTAAAAGAGACTTACGGTATACGCAGTCACTGACTGATGTTCTTTAACGAGACACTCTTCTGTTTATCATTTTGAATATCTCAGACAGCTGTAGTTCGCTACAGTAGTATCGATACTAGGTGATGATTGAAGGTGAAATGAAAACTTGAATTGCGGCCGGATTCGAACCAGCGACCACCGGGTTTCCAGTCCAGTGCTCTATCAACTGAGCTACGAGGCCCGACTGCTGACCAGATTTTTATCTCGCTTCAATCATCATGAGTTTTGCCTGGCTACCATGTGAATTCGTGTTATGTTACTACCACTTGATCGTATTCACACTGACTGCCCAGTCAGGACTTCTCTTCCCAATCCAAATCTAACTGACTTAGAGGGGAACGGGAGCATCATATTAATTATCATTTTAACTGTCTGAGATAGCCGTGATTCGGCAGACTAGTATTGATACTGGGTGATGATTAAAGTGGAATAAAAACCTGGTCAGAAGTCAGGACTCGTAGCTCAGTTGGGACGGAAACTCAGTGGTCGCTGGTTAGAGTCTCACTGCAGTCTTAATTTTCAACTCACACTTTTCTGTCTTAAACCATCTTGTTTTAACTTCAACCAACGCAATATTTCCATATCAATTAGACGTTTTACTGTGCCAGTTACTTACAATTCGTGAAACTAACGTTTTGTAGAGAGGCTTTGTGCATGGAGTAATGTATTCATACTATGGCGATTCTATGCCCTGATTAAATGTAAACAAGTTGGAGATAAATGAGAAAAAAACAAAACAATAACGACTGAAAACTAACTTCTGCAACAGACTGAACAGCTCTAATGCCTTGAATAGTTAACTGTAAAGTTGCCCATAAAGTACTTGTAGAGAATGACCGTGTTCCTCTTCTAAGCCCATGAATAATTCCACCTCTACTGACACTATGCAGTTTATCTGGAGATAAATATTCACCACTACGGTGGGTCTCTTCATGAATCCGATTAGGTTTTTTAAATAAGCCCAGTTTACAGACAGTTGTGCCAATATGACTAGGATCCATTGATGGATTAGGTAATTCAGCAGTTCCATACAGACTACATACAGGTTGATAAATCAGATCCCATAAACCAAGAACTGAAATACAACAACAAGTTGACATTTAATGCATTAATCTGTCTACATGAATATTTAAAGTAAGCATAATACATAAAAGCATAGAAATACAAGACAAAAAATAAAAGTTACGTATAATGATAATTGAATTATTCAAGTTGGATATGATTTTTTAAAACTATTATTTTTATTATTAGAACACAAATATAGTACAGCAAGGGCACCGAGAAATGCGCCATACAAGATAGTATAATAACAATGTGAAGATATAAACGATGGGAAGTGGATAAGTAAGAAAAAAACACATTAGTAATGCCATGATTAAAAGGGCAATCCAGTAAAGTACATTCGAAGCGAAACATTCATTACTTCTCAGCAAAAGAAAATAGGAGGAAGCTACAGGATAACCGCCAATGGCTTTGATTCTGAGCCATATTTGATAATGTCTCAAGCAACTGAGTTGTGTGATCTCTTAGACCCCACCTAGGGAGTCATGATACACTAACAGATGCTAACCCGATACAACTATCCTTCATCTCACGGCACCATGTCATACACTCACCACCCCTACTCCGCTTCTTCCATCCAGTCTCACGGTTAGCAAACAATGAACGGTATAGAAGCCGTTGGGACGACATGCGTAACACATGTCCAAGTCACTAAAGCCAGTGTTTCCAGATAACTTCACTCATTGAATGACGCTCTCCATCATGTTCAAACACACGCTGTCGTACCTCAGGATTACTCACATGGTGTTGCCACCGGATATGAGCAATCCTACGGAGACAACGACGGTCGAACACATAGGATCATCGCATATCTTTAGCTCGAAGAGGCCAGGTTTCACAGGTGTAGAGTAAAACTACTCGCACCAAAGCGTTTTAAACCCGACCTCTTACGGTCGAACTAACGTGGCAACGGCGCTAAAGGTGACCTTCTATATACGGTTGGAAATTCCATCTCTCACACAATTACTCAGATATACGAACTTTTCGACTACTTCCAACGGCTCACCACCGACGGTGAGCGTAGACACAGGCTCTTGCCAATCTTCGGAAAGTACTTTGCACTCTAATAGTGCAAAGCACATACCATACTCACGGACACTGAACAAAGTTGAGTAACCCTAGTAAAGGTTTATGTAGTAGATTGAACATTGGTTACTCAAACCAAAGTAGTAGGTGGGGGGAATTTGATTTCGAAACGCACTGCCTAAAAGTTGAATACGTCAGTCAGTGTTCCTCATAGAATATCATAGACATGTCAGTCCAAGATGCTCACAATATAGATTAACATGCGGTGATTTCTTAGCAGAATTTCAAGGTGACATTACCTGACATTGCGGTACAAAGTGTATCGGCTGACTTGCATAATCTTTGCATATTCTTCAAATCCTTGAAGACATTGTAGTTGGGTCGTTGTTAGTGCTATAATATCCATATCGAATAACAGTATAATAAGGATTTGGATTTTAGGAAAACAATACATTCTGATAGATAGCAAGATTACTAATCTGTTCATGCTTTGATCAACAAAGTAATGGACGCATAAAACAGAAGTTCCTTCCGAAGAACTAGATCAACATGTTGATCGTAAGGAGATCTTAGAAGAATTCTTAACAAATATAACATATGAGTTTATTTTCGTGCAACAAATACCCTAGTTAAGACCAGCGTTGGGCATTTCTTATAATACATAAATCAAGATTAGAAGAATCAGCTAAACTGTCAACCCAAAGATATAACAATAACACCATAAATACTTTGATTACAGATAAAAATTATTAACAAAACAATTGACTGTGAAAAGAGTTATACTTCTTAAACTTACGAAATTGTGTTACTTCATGCATTGGACCTAAACTAGTTACAATGGCGTGTGGTAGTTGTGATGATAAAATAGAGCTAATATCTTCTACAACCTCTTCAATTAATCGATCTAAGCTTTGATAACCACGCTGATAAACACGTCGAGGAATAGTGAATTCAGCATTTGTCAATTGAAGAAGCATTGCTAATAAACCATGAAATGAACCCTAATAAATAAATTTCAAGAAGGTATAACACAGATTAGAACGAAAGAAAATTTAATTTAAGAGGTAAATATGTCTGTATATATCTTCTTTGAGGTTATTTCAAGGCTGAACACGGTTTAAACATCTGAACTTTTATAAAAGCTGAGATATAGAATATACTTATTGTATCTGAAGGATTATAATAATACTTATTCTAAATTAATGATGGATAGTGGCTGGCAGTGGAATCCAGGACGCGCATTTCGTCCTATTTGGGACTCGTCAGTTGAATGTACCTATCTCCCACTGAGTGATGTTGTTCCCGCTGGGACTCGAACTCGGGGCCGATCGCTCCAAACACCAGAACGTTATTTACTAGACCACCGAGCCACAATAGCCACTTCACTAATATATATAATTAAAACACAGGTATTATCGAGGCATCCTCACAGGAACCCATACACCAATAGAGGCCGATCAATTCGGTCCAATCAACGACGGGATAATACAATCAATAACGCTTATCCTAAGTAATAATAGTAGTAATTACTATTATTATTATTATATTATTTGTCCCTTGGGTTCCTAGTGGAGCATGGGGCTTCACCAGCACGTCTCCATTACACTCTCTTCTCTGAAATCTTTCGAACCTCACTCCACGACTGCCCACAAGCTCTCATTTCCTCCTCGCACGATCTCCTCCATGTCACTCTCACCTCAGACGCCCAACTCGCCGTCTCCCATCTGGGTTCCACTCAAGGGCCCCATGCGTGACGTCCCCGAATGGTCGGTCTTCTAAGTGCATACCCAATCCATTGCATATTTGTTGAGCGATAGCTTCTTGGTTGGTTCGTTGCCCGGCCAGAGTTCCTTGTTGCCTATTCTTTCTGGCCATCTAAGCTCCAGTAACGAGCCAGCGTAGGCAGTTGTTGCTGAATGTCTGTAGTTTGTTGGAAATGCCTTTCGTAACGCGCCAAGTCTCTGAGCCACATAGAAGCACTGAATTGACATTGGTGTTGAAAATCCGGATGTTGTTCCACATGCTGAGTGCAGAAGATCTCCACACTGGTTTCGGGCTAATGAAGGAAGGCCTGTCTTGCTTTTCCGATTCTGACTTTGACATCCTCGTCTGTGCCTGTGGCGTCTGTAGTTGAAACAGTGTTGCCTAGATAGGTGAAGGAGGTTACTTCCTTTAAGTTTCTCCCATTGATGGTGATGGTGATTGGAGCTTGTTGTTGCTGTTGTTGTTGGTTGGGTATCTTCATCACCTCTGTCTTCTCTACGTTCACTTGAAGTACCGTCTTCCTTCGATGTCTTGCCTCTTCTGTCAACTTGTTAGTTTTCGCCTGTAGATCTTCAAGTTTGTGAGAAGTTAGACACAAGTCATAGGCGAAATCCAAGTCTTCTAGGATCTTCTCCCCGCTCCAGCGTATCCCCTCTTCTCGCTCCTCACAGTTGTCGGTTGCATGGTCCAGTCCACTACAATCAGGAACATCATGGGTGATAGTAGACAACCTTGTTTCACGCCTGTCTTCACTTCAAAAGCATCACTGAGCTTCCCATTGTGAATTACTTGGTATGTGGCGTCTTCATATGGTTGTTGAATGAGATTGATAAAGGTTTGTGGTATTCCGTAGTGTTGAAGCAGTTGCCTGGCAAATTACTTCTCAGTCGACACTCTCGGGGGCCTTTTCAAAGCCGATGAAGTTGAGTTGACTGTCATTTTATACTCTGTTCCATGATGATGCGTAGTGCTGCAATTTGATCTGCACATGCTTTGTACTGTCTGAATCCAGCATGTTCCGGTCGTAATTTTGAATCCAGCGCATCCTTTAGTCTCTCAAGGATGACGCGGCTTAATATTTTGCTTGGGGTGGACAGGAGCATAGTCCCGTGCCAGTTCTTGCAAAGATCTAGGTCTCCCTTCTTTCAGAGTTTGACTGGGTAGCCGTTCTTTTAATCGATCGGCAGGTACCTTCCCTTCCTTCTCCCCCTCCATACCTTCTGTAGTAGTGGTGTTAGCATGTCCGCTGTTGTCTCTGAGTCCGTTCTCAGTGCTTCTGGTGGGATTCCGTCTGGTCCTGCTGCTTTCCCGCATTTCAGTAGCTTCATGGCGTTCAGGACTTCGACTTTCGTCGAGGCGCTTGTGTTTGCTGGCATTTCTGTGGCTGCAGGTGGTATTTGTGGACGAAGTGCAGGTGGTGGTGATCGATTCAAGAGCTTTTTATTATTACTATAACTGCTTTATTGTTGTATGGAATTTTCAGCGTATAATAGTTTAACAAATCCACTCACTGTACAGTATCTTTAGGCGAAATAACTATTGCATTTCAAAAATACTAGTAATGATAGTAATAAAAGCCATAATATGAAATAGGCGTCTGAGGTTACATTAGAGTCTACTTTGGACTAGTGAACAAATAGAAAATCGAAAGCAATTTTGGTGGCAGTAGTTGATTCGACCAGTACCAAAGTCTGCAATTCAACATCGTTATCCAAAGAATAGTAATGTACTGTATTTCTGTACATTTATAAGCTCGTCTCTTACCAGTGAATCGTTTATTCTTTGTCTTGCTGTTAGCTTGAAAAACGGCAATTTGAAATCATTTTAAAAGTGTACAAGAGTACTAGACACGTTTAAAAGACAAATGCAAAAGATTGAAACAAATTGAAGGGAAAGAATTTGATGAAATCAATTCAATGGGAACATTTTTAGTAGCTAAAAGTTTAAGCAGTCCACATATTGACAAGTTTAATCACATGATAGAAACATGAGATAATTGTATATCGGTCCAATTCATCATACTCTACAAGTAGCGTAATCAAGGGGAGATTAACAAGAAGGAACATAGAAATGACAACAATGATACTGATAGTTTTAAAATCCACTGGAAGATAGGGAAAAATTCAAATAATGGTCAGATGAATCTGTATCATCCTAACCAATTATGATTCATATCAACTTAATTCTGTGCAATCATTGATTTCAGCTGTCTAGTAGACCTCAACAGTATGGAGAAATTAGTCATAAACTTAAAAATCACACCTACATCTTCTCTTAGCTAATGGGCCCATCTATCGCCATACTACACAACTTTGGTATACTTTAGTTTCCAAGCAATACGCAACAGAGATCCGCAGAAGTAGTATATATCAATAAGAGACTATTTTGCTGAACTTTACTACATCCAACAAGCAAGCTCATTTAAACTTGTACGGCATTGAACTTACCATTTTCCCATCTTATAATCAGTGAAGGATTCATTGGGTCAAATAAGTTGAGAAACAACATAGATAACTCAAAGTGGAAACTATAATGGCAACCAATCAGTTAATAACAGAAGAGAAAACAAGGAAATGAACGAAAGTGAAGCGATATTAAAGTCTGTAGAAAAATGTAGAGGTTGGTTAAAAAACGCACATCTTGAAGATGTTAGAAAGCGAAATGATTAATAATGATCACTTCGAAGGTCTGTTAATGACAGTTTTCGACCTTCGATTCGTAACATCACTGGGGACACAGACAGACAATTTTCACCTCCTTAAATAATTCAAAGTGACAATGGAAAATCTCATAAACTAGTGCAATTTCTTGATTTGGCCAATCTTTTTTTTTCGCTCAACTTACTGCTACATCAAGGTAGGCAGCGGTTCAGTCAACACATTTCTCCCAAACGCGTGACTGATCTTCTGCAGCTATTGTTCTACATCCAATGTCAACGCTGCTCATATACTATGACAACACTTACGACAAATAACTTTCAATGCTTTATGTTTTGCATTTTGTAAAACCTTGTCTCATAGCTGTAAGCTCAGACTGTTGAATGATACTTTCTTTTCTGTTTAGATTCAAACTTGAGTTGATAACTATAGAAAAAAAATCTGTATGGACATGCTGAGTTTTCCTCGTCAACTCTGAATGAGTGTTTGAATTATTGCAATTAAGTTTGAGTAGATAGTTTTGATTAGTATAATATATTTCAATAACACTAATTTCGTAGACAAAATATGAAATAACAACTCGCGACCATCAGGATCAGATGTCACCTTCAGGTCAAGAAATATGCCAGATATAAGACTGTAGTAAACATGCCTGTGTTCAAAAGTCTTTCCAACGGTTTAAATCTTATCAATGCATTCAAAATTAACGATGAAATTCCAAGTTGCCTTTGTATATCATCAGTGTTAGTGTTATGTCGTTAGTAATTTCAAGTCAGGCCAATGTATTTTTATCTAGATTCTGAATGATATTATGCCCACCACAAAGTCTAAAGACTGGAGTTTGACATCGTATGAAGTTGTGGTTCACTAGTTTAATGAAAGGAATTACAGCTGCTGCATTACAGGTTATCAACTAGTTAGACTTGTTGTGGTTCATGCAGTAAAAAAGTATCATTAGGTATCGTACAACACTAAATAAACCTCTATTCATTCATTTAGTTGCATTCCTAATTTATTAACTACTGCTGGGGAGTTTCAATTTCAATCAGAACAACTTTCCAATGTTCCCTGGCTTTTGACTGTTCTCCATCTGATTGCAGACAAAAACTGAATTTCACAAATAGAACAACTAAGTTTGACGTTATATTGACCTTGGTGACTAGCAAAGGAATACAGGATGTGCGTTTCGTACCCTTTGGCGTTAGTCAGCTGGATGTGCCTCCACCGCAGTGCGGAGTGATATTGTTCCCATTGATATTAGAACCCAGTACCCATTGCTTCAAGCACAACTCCCCTGAGTAAAACAACGGGAAATTACAAATATCATAACAACTACTGATACCCGTTGCACAAGAGGTGGCTATTGTGCCCCAGTGGCTTAATAAATAACGCTGGGGTGTTTAAAGCGATAGGTATTGGGCTCAAGTCTCAGTGGGGTGCAGGTGCATCCAGCTAATGAGTCCTGGACAGGATAAAACGCGCGATTTGGACTCCTCTGCTAGTCACCAAGACCATCATATGAATATCCAGCAGTTTCGAAGCATCTGCATAAGAGCCTATCTGCCAACAGAAGTCAAGCAATTCAGCCTCGTATAGCAACAGGAAATTACAAGTATCATAATAAATAAGTTTGACCTACAACTAAACACATAAGAGCTTATATCTAACTGACTAAATAAAACTGAACGAGGAGGTGATGCAAATCAAGTTATCATTAATCGTTAAAAATGTTGTAATATCAGATACCACTGCTTCAACTTACACCGCTCAAATCCAAACGTCTGCCATGATAATCAAGGTGAATGGGTAGATCAGGGTAAAAAGTGACTTTCCTGAAATTTGAAGAGAAGGCAAATTGTTATCTTTCACAAAAAACAGTATGCGATTTCGATCCAGTGGCTCAACGACAACGTACTGGCCAAGAGACCCGAAGCTCCTGTTTTCGACTTCTGGGGTGGGGCCATGGGTGAGCAATACTGATGAGTCCCATACTAGGATGAAACAGCTTTCCAGTGCCTCCATGTTCCCAATATTCCTCCAACTGATGTCAGTCCATGATGAATTCCAACCTGAAATCAATTAGTAATCACCAACTCCAGTCATTCGTAAAAGTGATGAGAAGTAATCCATTTTCCCATAGAAGGAGGGAAACATCAGTGCATTTTCAGGTCGATTATTCATTACAGATTGACATCAATTGGAGAACCATTGAAGACCTGAAAGCATCAGACAACTGTTTCATCTTGGCATGCGACTCCTCAACACTGTGCAGCCATGATCACGATAGGGATCGAACACATGACCTTCAGGTCCCATGGTCAGTATGTTATCATTGAGGCATAGGGTCATGATCCAGTGATTTTGTTTTGCACTACAGTGTTATGGGATCTGTTGATCAAAGATAGATATGCAGTGTGACGACTGTATGAATTGCATAACCAATATCTAGAAAGCACAATCTTTGCACTATGGAACAAGTGAATGTATAAATTTAAGTTTAATCAGTCCATAAAGTTATGGACTGGAATTACTCATGTCTACTTACTGAAAGAATAAGAAAAGACTCAAGAAAGTTAAAAGCAAATACCATTTCTTTATAAACTCAGTAGCTGATATATCAACAATCCTGGTGGTCGAATATGTACGATAAAATATCAAAGCTTAGAAGACAGTGAATCATCAGCACATTTAACCTGAGCTTAACATTTCCCCATTATGAAATGGTGGAATATATTTGTAGCTCATGTGGATGATTTCGGTTGTATTATGTTCTCTGAACTGGGTCGTTTAGTCGTGGAGCTTTCATCGTCTTTCTAGACGACATCCTCAGCACTAACTTCAGTATGAAGTGAGTTGCCAATATTTCTCCGTGATTGATTTTTTAGCTTGTCCTGAAGATGTTGTCTAGAGAGACGATGAAAACTCCACGACTAAACAACTCAGAGAATACAATACAACTAAGATTTCCCTATTATTTCAAAATGCTACAAATCGACGAAGTCATTCAATTACTGATCACAACCGAGTGATGGTTTTGTTAGTTAGATACCTCGCTGTCAAGTGGGGAACTATTGAAAACCTAGAAGTGGTGGGTAGCTATTTCGCCACAGTATAGGACTCCTCAGCAGTGCATACCCACCAAGGGTCGAACTCAGGAACATCAGGTTTCTCGGCGAACGCGTCGGAATCCAATGGTCCACAGCATCCTGCTTCTGTGGACTCTCGATATAGCACGACTATTCACCAAGATCTTCAGCTGGCATCCCCTTCAATTCCGACTGGTTGACCCCATAGATCACGGCTTCTCATTAGAATTTAGAGATATCCGCCTAGAAAGCATGTCACTAATGAGGACTTTACAGTAATTTCGTTTGAGATTTATAGGGATTTAGAGTTCCATAATAGGACGAAATAGCTATCCAGTGCTACCACACTTTCAGGGATTCTCCAACTGACGTCAATCCAAGATGGATACTACCTTGAAATAAATAAAATTCCTATAAACTTGAAACTAAATCTTATTATCTCATTTAGTTATAAGAACTATGATTAGAATTAAACCTAACGGGATCAATTTCAATTTGGGGTTCGTGGGTGTTTATTGGTTTCAAGTTGGTATTCATCATGGACTGACATCAGTAGGAGGAACATTGGAAACATGGGAGCACTCGACAGCCGTTTCACCCAGGTATGCGACTCCTCATCAGTGCTCACCCATAATGCTGCACCACAGAAGTAGGAAATATGAACCATTGGATTCCGACCCAGTGACTCAGTGGTAACTTGCTGGTCACAGAACCTGAAGGTCGTGGGTTTGATCCCTGGTGGGGTAAGGTCATGGGTGTGCACTGCCGAGGAGTCCCATACTAGGACAAAGCAGCTAACCAGCGCTCTCAGGTTCCCAATGTTCCTCCGATTGATGTCAGTCCATGGTGAATACCAACTTGAAACTAATAGTATCAGAAATAATAAGCGCCGAGTGAAAAAAAACAACATCAAATGTAGATTACAGTTGCGTTAATGTCAGCGTGTTTAGAAACAAATAGTCCCAGCATCAAGCACGGAAGTTTGACTTGTTGAGGTCAAGCGAAGAGTGCTAGGCAAGACAGGCAGGTCAATTGGACCCCTATCAACTGAGATGGTTTGGACATATACTGAGCATGCCGAGCCACTGCCTACCTCGACATATCATGCTAGGGGAAGTTGGATTAGGAGGGAAGAAACTTTAGGGTGGCCAAACGAAGATCTGACACCAGTCGATGAAGTCTCTGACTGATGATCTGAGCCATGTGTGAGAGATGTAGACTACCTGACTGGGATTCACGACACGAAAGAAATGAGTGGTTGAAGACTATCTGTGACATGGCTGAAAATCGGTCAGAATGGCAGCACAGATGTATTCACTCCTTAACGTTTTCTACCTCGTGAATATTTGTATTAACCATTATCTTCAGATTGTTTATTCTCTCACACAACTTTTTCTACTTTGATACCACTCCTTTTCTATCTACCTGTTCTTTGTGTACTTCGGTGAAGTGTGTCAATTTGGACCGATGGATTTGTGTGGGCGGTTCTACGTTAATCAAAGACATTTTTAACGTTAAAAGCAGTTGAAAATAACAAGGAGAGCTTTTTATGTTATGAATAGGGTATAGCTTGTATGTTACATGATCCAACATTGTGGTGGAATGAAGTTGGTGCCTAGCGTGTAAACGCAACCGAAAGATGGTGTAAATAAGGCGACTGATTCGCTACTAAAAAACACCCTCGATCATCATGGATTGCATGGTGAAGAAACTGAAGACCATAGCACAGAACGACAAACATTTCAATTTAAAACTATGGATACATATTTTACTGACTAATTTTCTACTAGTTTGCAGCATAAGTTTACGGTTTCATGAAGATTTAAGTCAAAAATGAAAACCTCTTATGAAAAATTAAACAAACCTTATAAATAAAACGGGTTGATTAGGTTCAGTAAAATCTGCTGATGAGCACATTGGACGAGTGAAACCAGTCGATGACTGGAGTGTTGTAGTGATATTATCATTCAAGTGATTCACATGAGATTGTAGTGGACTACCTGTAGTCACACTGGACACTGGTATTTGACCATAGTGTGTACTTGTTTGCGTAGGTGATCGAAACTCCAAACTTGAAACAGATTGTCCCATTTGAAAACTATCTGATTCCCTTGAGGAGGCAGTTAGAAACCGTTTGAAATTCTCTTGATATTCATATAGGAATAGTAGTGTATACTGAAATCAATTCAATACAAAAAACAAAATTAGAAAGAGATTATATAGTGGTGTTACTGTCGAGATAAGAACTTGAAGAAAGATCTTTCACACTTCACCTAAATGGGTTAGGATCACAATCTATTAAAGGATGATTATACTATACGTAGTCCGCTTTATCCTTCTATACGGCTGTCATATTGTAGTTGAAGGAAGAGGGTAAGAGGGGTTGTAGGTTTTTCATCACAGATATCTTCGTAGCATTGCTTATGAGTGGTGGAATCACTATGTGAGTAATGTCGAGGTTAAGTGATGGGTACTAGACAAGGAAGTAAAGTCAGTCGATGAGTTTGTGAAACTTCACCGACTGAGGTGGCTTGCATATGTATTGCGCATGCCAAGTCAACGCTTATCTTGAAGTGCGATGTTATCCAAAGCAGAATTGGGTTGGAAGAAGGCTAGAGGTGGTCAGACCAAGATTTTCTGTCAGTCCATGAAGTTGGTTGGGAACTCTTTGTAACATTGCTCGAAATCGCTCACAACTGCTTAGATTTAGGCACTCTTTGTTATCTTCGAATTCTAGAATATTTTTATCAATTTTCTTGCATTTATGCTCTACTGTCTAGCATGTCAGGTGACGCGGTTTTGGACATTCATTGACTGTGATCGTTCGAGTATGTGTTACGTATGTCCACTCACCGTCTGCCTCGACACAAATTGCTAGCTCAAGTATGTTCAGGTTGGAAAAAGGCTAAAGGCAGCTACACGAAAACATAACATCAGTGTATGAAGTCCTTGACTATTGGTGTGAGCCATGTTTGGCGATGCCGACAAACCAGTTGGGGTCCAGATGACAACAGAAACCATCGATTGGAGACTGACTCTAGGTGATATTGCTCAGAATTGATGTCAGTGGTGCAGGTGTATCCACAGTTTACTTTCATCTTAACCGCATTTTTTCATTCCTTCTTCCTCTCCTTTACTTCTCTCCACTGCTTTTGAACGATTCTTCTCTCTCCCTTCATCTTTCATCTTACTGCTTTGTTCCTTTGTTGTGCTGGCTGATATAGAATGCGGTAAGTTAGACCGTTATGCAGTAATGCCCAGTTTCATGTTGATATTGATTAATACATAGATTTCATGTTTCCCTTTTGGCAACTTAGTTATATTTCTCTAACAGTTGACAACTTCTACAGTTTTCCTATTGTGAATTACATGTACCATGATGAAAATATTAGTGCGAAACTTTTTATATTTTAGAAGACTTCCATTTTCATTATTTGTAAGTATTACCTTTTACTTGTGAAGTTGTCACTCACTGGTTCAGGCAGATGACTTTCAATCAGTGAGTCACGAGTTTGTACACCGCCCCACTAACCGAGATGTGGGCAGCCACTCAGTATCATTAGGCCTGACATACAGTAAGTGTGGCTTATTGTCTACTGCACGAATGTGCACAAGGTTTCTGAGTGGATTTCGATCTTCGTTTCAATTTTTTTGGAACAAATTCAGTGCCATTGAAATGTATACACTGAATAGAGTTAGTTGAATCAGGATCCGAACAATGAAGTAGGTATACCTCGCCAGCTGTTTGTAACTGTACTGAACATCCAACTTCTGTAAATTTTTTGCAAATACTGTATTCTTCACAATACATTACTTCAGTTTCCATGTTCTCATGTGAACTAGTTGTGCTGTAACCTTGTTGATAAGGTGAGAAAGACAGATGAACTGTTGAAACACCAGATTTGTAACCTTGCAGTTAACTATATGGTTTGCATAAACAGTTCCCCTAAGCTTCAGTTAAACAGTAATCACTATTTCTTCTCAAATATATGTGTATATATATACTTTGATTACTGAAATCAAAGTGAGGAGGTAATTCCATAGTCAAAGTGTTTCATCACCAACATAAACATAGGACCGGGCATTACTGTTCAACGGTCCAAGTTGTCACACCTCGTATATCAGCAAAACGAGTAAAAGAGCGGTAAGATGACAGATGAAGGGAGAGAGGAAAATCACTCGAAAGGAATAGTAAGAAGTAAAAGAGAGTAAGAAAGAAAATATTGGATTCAGCATAGCGGTTAAGATGAAAATAAACTGTGGATACACCTGCACCACTGACATCAATTCTGAGCAATATCACCTAGAGTTAGTCTCCAATCGACGGTCTCTGTTGTCATCTGGACCCCAACTGGTTTGTCGGCATCGTCAAACATGGCTCACACCAATAGTCAAGGACTTCATACACTGATGTTATGTTTTCGTGTAGCTGCCTTTAGCCTTTTTCCAACCTGAACATACTTGAGCTAGCAATTTGTGTCGAGGCAGACGGTGACTGGGCATGCGTAACACATGTATATATGATGTAAAGTATACAGTTCCAAAGGACATACTGATGTGTGTCGAAATTTCACAGTCAGTTCTCATTATACAATTTTAACTTGTAACAAGATGAGACTGCACTCAACAATCAAAGATATAATCTTGACTATCTGAGATAGCCGTGGTTTTGCAGACTAGTATTTGTACTGGGTGGTGATTGAAGGCGAAATGAAAATTCGAATCATCGTCAGATTCGAACCAGCGATAACCAGGTTGTCGGGCATAATTCTTAGTGATTGAAGTGAAATACAAATCTGGTCATGAGTCGGACCTCGTAGCTCACTTGGTAGGACACCGGGCAAGAAACCTGGTGGCCGCTGGTTCGAACCCGCCGCGGTCCATATTTTCATTTCACCTCTAATCTCCACCCAGTAGAAATACCAGTCTGCAAAACCATAGCTATCTCAGATAGATCTCAGATAGTCAAAATGATAATCAATATGATACTCTCCCTCTTGAACTCAGTTACATTTGGATTGGGGTGAGAAATCCTAACTGGACCGGGCAGTCAGTGTGAATACGACCAAGCGGTAGTAACGCGTCACGAATGCATGTAGCAGTCGTCAGGCAAAACTTTTGGTCATTGAAGTGCAATAAAAAACTGGTCAGCAGTTGGGTCTCGTAGCTCAGTTGGTAGAGCGATGGGGCCGGAAACCCAGTGCTCGCTGGTTCAAATCCCGCCGCAGTTCAGATTTTCATTTCACCTTCAATCATCACCCAGTATAAATTCAGGCAATGAAGAGTACTTTTCGAATTAATGAATTTTTAGTGGATGCTTAACACACATTTTCTTTAAATACACAAAAGGTGAACAGTATATAAACGCATCCAAGGCGAAACAAAGTACACATTGACAAGTTAAAAGAAACACCGCTAATATGAGTTAAGAAAGTGTATCTTCGACAAGCGAAGACGGGACTTCAAGTGAATATAGAGAAGACGGAGGTGATGAAGATACCACACCAACAACAACAGCAACAACAAGCTCCAATCACCATCACCATCAATGGGAGAAACTTAAAGGAAGTAGCCTCCTTCACCTATCTAGGCAGCATCGTTTCAACTACAGGTGGCACAGGCACAGACGAGGACGTCAAAGCCAACTAGGATCGGAAAAACAGCAAGACAGGCGTTCATTAACCTGGAACCAGTGTGGAGGTCTTCTGCACTCAGCATAAAGCGTCAACAACATCCGGATTTTCAACACCAATGTTAGTCAAGTCAGTGCTCCTGTATGGCTCAGAGACTTGACGTGTTACGAAAGGGATTTCCAACAAACTACAGATATTCATCAACAACTGCCTACACTGGCTCGTTACTAAAGCTCAGATGGCTAGAAACAATAAGCAACAAGGAACTCTGGCTGTCAATGAACAAACCAAGAACCTATTGCTCAACAAATATGTAATGGATTGGGTATGCACTTAGAAGACCGACCATTCGGGGACGTCACGCGTGAGGCTCTTGAGTGGAACCCAGATGGGAAACGGCGAGTTGGGCGTCCGAGATGAGGGTGACATGGAGGAGATCGTGCGAGGAGGAGATGAGGGCTTTTGGGCAGTCGTGGAATGAGGTTCAAAAGATTTCAGAGAAGAGAGTGGAGTGGAGACGTGCTGGTGAAGCCCCACGTTCCACTAGGAACTCAAGGGATAAACAATAATAATAATAATCTTCGACAACTATTAATTCGACTTCATAGAGACAGAGAGTTACATTTTCGATTGGATATAACATACACGCTTGACCGACAGCCAACTTTGTATGGCAGATCCACCGGTTCCAACAGCAAACGGAAAAGAGAAGAAGACTGGACTAGATGTGAGAGTTTATTACTTCCGAGAAGAATAATGAATTGATCGAAGAACACATGTGTATATACATGACGTATGACCAGAATTAACAAAATTAAAATAGTGAAAGCAAACATTAACCAACCAACTTTGAAAATGGTGATGAGGAATAAACTAGTGAATATGGCGTAAAAATGGCGCGAAAATGACCATTTAAAAATGTTTACATTGATAAATAATATTTTATGTAAATCTCGGGTATTTCAACATAGACTTAAGAGTATTTTTTCATATCGAAGAAAGTGTTTATAAGATTAATAAGCCTTTCATGAAAATGGATACTATTTCTTTTATTCAGAATAAGTAGTTCCGTTGCATCAATTAAAATATTGATCAGTTAACGCATTTCACGTCAATATTCACATCCTATTCACACAGGTGTACACTTACAACAAATTTCCACTTGTCGTCAAATACAAATCATCACACGAACATGAAAGTGGATATTTGGTTGTAAGTATATATTGTGCTTTCAAATCATTAAAAATCCCCTTTGTAATTCAAAAGCCAATTGATATGCGAAATTCTCCTTACCACAGTCTAGCGAAATAGCTTATCACTATTCTCCAACCTTTACACAAATATCTAATGAAACAATGTGAAAGATGTATTTGAATTTATAGAGAGAATTAAAGATGTTAACATGTGTGTTCACAAAGTTATATTTATCTTGGTGACTAGCAGAGGAATCCAAAATGCGCGTTTCGTCCTATTTGAGACTCGTCAGCTGAATGTGCCTGCATATCAGTGGGTGTTGTTCCCTTTGGGGCTCGAACCCAGTAC